CTAGATAGCACTAACATGAAAAATACTTTTACCGTTGATTATTTTCAAACGATTAATCAACTTGTGTTGATATGATTATTATGAGGTTCAAAAAAAGTTATAGCTAATGTGAAGACTCAGTATAGACCACTTGAAGAAATGATTCAAGATATTTTATTATTCTTAAACAAAACAGGCGGAAATGTAAAGTTCATACAGTTATAAGGTGGGTGTTTTCTAGGCCTGCCTGGCCAAGTATAAGATGTATGTATGTGTCTTACATTTAGGCAAACAGAAATCCCATTCTTAGGTTGAGTGGGCGTGTTCAAATTTCACTTAGGCATCTCGGTGTTGTCAACTTGGAAACCCTTATAGTGGTCACAACCATTGTATTCTATTCTCTTGTGTCTTGATAACATCAATTTAAGAATTTGTGGTTCGTTTAAATTAAATTATAGGATAGATTATTCTAGCATATGACCAGAACATCAATATACTGTATGGTAAAGAATCTTACAGTTTATATTTACGAGTGAATCTAAATGAACGAGATTACCCATAATATTATCTTAGTCATCACTAAACCATCTATCTTATGTGGTTTTGAACACCTCTGTATACAATAGTCACGTTTGTGCTCTAATTTCAACTGATAGGCTTAACTTGAAACAAATTATATTAAACTATAATTTGGTTTTATAGTACGTCAGTGATCTGTTCAAGCTTAGTGTGGACAAAAACCAGTAAGGAAACATGTTAAATGCCTTAATCATCAGTATCCTAACGCGGATGATACTGTCAACCGAAAATGCAATGTTCAGCCTTAGGTAGGTTTAAGACTGACCTAAATGTACGTTGTATGCAGAGTAGTGTGAGATCCTCGAAGAGAGAATACCAAGAATAAAATTGGGTCAATGATTCAGTAAGCACACAGAATGCACGTATTTTTGAAAATGATATCTGTCCATGGTAGTTAACAACGAAACAAGCGTAGAATCTAGACAAGATTTCCCTTTTTATACAAGAGCTCGACAGCCACATTAGCATACAATCAAAAGTATGGATGATAGTTAAAGTCCATCGTTTCATCGCTTAAATTAATTTTGTTTGGTGGTGAACTTTTGTAGAAAAACTCTTTAGTTCTGAAATGGTTTCCCACATGGTGTAGTTAGTATGCTAGTGGTATTATGTGGAACCCCACTTAAGTCTTATAGCAAGTTCAATTCATCAAACTTTTACAAAAATAATAGAATAATTCAACGACTGGTAACAGACTGTACAGTCATAACTGTGTTGTGGGATTTTCAAACGAATTCGCTTCAAAACAATTTAACAATTTCCATCAACAGTACACCTTCATGAACTTAACATGGTATACAACTTCAACTGATCAACGGAGCTATTTATTGGTATTTTAGGTCATTGTAAGATGATAACTCTCCTGTGCTTTGTGTGTGAGAACCATAACTCTTTGTACTTGTTCTGGACAAATAACTCTTAAATCTTACTTAAAATAATATGTATAAACTTGAATCCGATAAATAAGTTCTATATATTTGCTTAATAAAAAAGGCTTTGACACTTGTAGTGGTTATTCAATATATGTCGAGTATTCCACACTATATCTATAACTATCGAAGTGAATAAAAACAGTAATGATTAAAAATCTGACATCATATACTTGGTTGTATACCCGAACACCAAACGAGTGAGCTTACTTAGGAAAGTAACATGTCAAGCTTCATATGAAATATAATTTTTCCTGTATGATGTTATGTGAACAAGTACTTATCACTGACTCCCTATACCACTGTCTAAACTTTTTTAGGTTATTTGAAGATGATTTTGTTCTCGCTCCCTTATTTTCCTTACATCCTGATGATTAGAGATTAATTTAACTTTTCTGAAAACTGTCATTCATTGGTGACCGTATGCCGTTTGTTTTTCCTTTCCACATTTTATCTGCATAATTTTCATTTCCTTTTAACTACTCACTTAATATAAAATATTAAAAGACTTATGGGATGAAATATGATAACGTTGATAGTTTCTCTCAAGTGTTCTTTTTCCTTTGTAAATAATTGTTGGTGGAGAATATATGTTTTATACAGTTGGAGAGAAACCACATAGACCTAATGGTATTTTATTACCTCAGCCATTGACGTTATATCCTAGTCTAAGGTCGCGAGTATAACTTGATAGCAGTTTCCTGAATATTTTATACTGAACGACTCACTGAAATATTTTAAAATCCGGAGCACTAAGATGATTCATTTCAAGTAAAAAGTAAATTTAGCGCTTTGAAAGTATTTCCATTTTAAATTTACGTGTCTAAGAAATTTATGACAGAACGAAACTAGGGAAATCAGTCTCCAGAACTATGTAGAAAACGATGCTGCTTATTAAATTTGCATAGTTAACTATTCGTACCAAAAATGTAAAATAAATACTAGATAGGTTATTTAAACGAATTGGTAAGGGATTTTAGTCAACTTAGTACACCAAAAAAAACGTAAGGGATTAAACTGAATCCACTCCATTGTTTGCTAATAAACTTGCCTGTCTGGACGACCTCCGAAGGAACATGAATGTTTGGATTGGCACAACACAATCCAAAGCAGTATTAAGTTAGAACAGCAGTCACTCAACTATTGGTGCTAACAAAGTCCAAAAACCGACTTAAGCATCGACAGAATTTCTCAATGAACTTATGTCCGAATTTCATGAAAAACAACTCCCACGAATCCATGCGACCTAAGACACTCAAAGTAGTCATACTATTTACATTGTTGTTGTTTTTATACTAAGAATTACATGTGGATACTTAAATGTCATAGAAAAACAAGATATAAAATTTAAATAAATTTATGATGCCCAGAAGTACTTGCATTTATAGTACAAAGGTTCAGTATACAGTGTTTTCTTTCGAGTGAAAGCCATGGACCAATGGCCCCCAAATGCCCTGGTACGGTCGAGAGTGGGGAGAGTCCACTTTCCCTCTCCAAATGTTCTTACATGGCCACGCGTATATAGCCTCTGCCAGGGAAGTCCTACTCACTGCCTTCTCGTGGCGGGGGTGTTGTTTACGAAAATGAGAGGACGAAAAGCGAATTTCCGGCGCTTTAACCGGATCCCAAATCAATGGTGCACATGGGCTCCAGTATCCTGAAGGAACAAATGGCGTATGAACCAATCGTTGGTCACCGGCTACCATGGGATTGCATCTCTTTACGATGCTCCACTGCCTTGTGGGTCAGACATTCAGATCGAAGGCTCGGGGTGTGGCCCCCTGAGAAAACCACCTGCTTTGGTTTGGGCACCCGGGCAGTATCACAGCCCTCACACAAAATTTTGTGTGGCGCATATATATTTGGTGCCTCCTTGTACCAATATCTATGTGTTAAGCTAAATAATAATAAATACATGGACCAATGATTCCGAATTATTAGTTTACAAACTGAACTTAAAAGGAACCAGACATCCTGTATTACATACAGTATGTGGTACAAAGGACAGCGAATACTAAGAATGAAATAAATAAACAATTTCCAACGTTACTCATTTATGAACATTACAGATGGCCACTAATTAATCATTGGAAAATGAAGCGATGTAGAAACCTTATATTTTAAAATTACTGGTTTACTAGGACGCTTCATTTCATATTGTTAAGCTACTTATTTCGAATATCTTCTGATATATATTTTCCAGTTACTTTATCTGCTAGTAGCATTTAATAGGATCTAAATCGGAATGTTATCAAGGAGCTGAAATGTAATTACGATTGGGCACTTAGTTTAAGACTTCTGAATGATTTAATCACATAGTGTCTGATAATGACTCCAAGGTACAAACCAGTGTAGGGACTTTTTATAGTTGTATCATCGAATTCATGACAGATATTAGCAATGTTACGAGAGTAAACATGTTTGATGTACATGAAAACTCATTTAATTAGCGAAAGCCACATCCAATGATTATAATCGAGAACGGTGAAATTTATTGTTAGAAGAAAAACTCACTACGATTTATGTTGAATTTTACAGGCTTTCTTATTTGCAGTCATAGTTGTGAACGCTTACAAAGTTAATTTGATACATCTAAAATAATATTTTTAGTTATTGTTTTGAATTCTTTTATATTATTAACAAAAAACGACTAAAAATTTACCCCTAGTTAGTTGGGAACGTACCTGTACATTGAAAAGTGCTTAACCCACAACGTTAAGCCATAGCTTTGGATTTTCTACGAATCTTTTAATTAAAACCTCATTAATTGACTATGACTGGTACTAACACTGCCACTGCTTACTCAGTAGCTCCATTAAAACACTTCATCCACCTACGTTTTTTGATCTTGAAGAAGTTTTGCGAACGTGTACTAAAATAGGTGGCACTTATCTCTATACACGTATTGAAATATCTTGTCAGTACCATTCACATCATCCACAGTAATCAGATGAATCACCGTTTTTAGAATCACGACTACATGTCAACGCATTCATAGTGTATAGGTACTTTTTATATTGTAAAGGTAAATATGAATGGTTAGCAAAATGGCATATGCTGGAAGTAATTAGATGTAAGTGAATATTGCCAATGAAGAGGCAAGCACTATAACCTTAAATCAATCCAACCAACTATGGAGCTCAAATCATACTGATATCGTATACAAAAATAATACTTTGAATATGAGCTCAATAATTACGTATGTGGCATTTTGTTAAAGGAAATATCTTATTGACTTTATCAAAAAAACTTATTAAAAATTATCAAAACATTATCGCAAGATCGAATTTTAAATGTGACGCAAACAACGAACAGATATCAGTTATAAAAAAATATTTGCGTAAAATTAGGGCCAAATACACAACAAAGGTATTCATAAAGCCTAAGTTCCTATGTTCAAATCAATTCACATGATATAAATGACTAATTTATTCCGTAATACAAACATAGGGTGGTTAGAAAAGATAACACCGAAAACAAACAAACGCGGAATGAATGATAAATACGATCTACCTGTTTTAATCAAAAATATCGAAACTTAAACTGATTTGTTTAAAGTTTCATCCATTATAACATATAATTCGATGAAACTTGTGTATCTTGGCTGAAACATTTTCAATCAATTGATGATGGGGAAAACAGTGAAGCAAAAAGATTTTGAAAGCACTTTACAAAATAGAAGCAGGTTTTTTCGTGCGCGAGTGATTGAAATCCACTTATAGGTGGAAAGTTTGGAGAGTGAACAGAAGATATTTAAAATAATTCTCGCAGTTCTGATTAGATATAACAGAAATTGTAAGAATCATTATCATAACAGTAGGAAGCAAAAGAATGAGACAGTGACAAAATAATCGAAATTGTTTTTTATAGGTGAAAGTGTTCGAGTGGGTGCCTCAACAATCTTTTAAAAAGGAAAACTTCATTGCATCCAATGTGTGCCTAATATTGGGCTTTGGCTTATAACAGCTGTAAGTTTGGTAAAATTATGTAAAACAAAACATCATTATTAATATAAAAAGTTGATAATTCGACAAAAAATGAAATTATATGTATTCTAAATCATTATGAATTACGAGAATCTTCATGACTTCTATTAAGTAAGTCCCATTGGAGCATGACCTTGAAGTGCGCTGGACCTTGAAGTTCTAGGACTATGAATAGGATCATCTTCTGATGTTAGGCGTGATGGATGCCTTGAAAGAGAACGAGACCAATCCTGTAATTCATACTTGCTTTTTGATAGAGAATTGCAACGAGATCTCGTTGTAACTGAATTTTCCCGATGTGAATCACCGTTTATGTTAACTGGAGTCTGAAACTGGTTTTGTGGAAGTGCGTGAGCATTAGACACCGGTGAGGAAGGAAATGGAGATGGAGGCGATTGGAGAGACGTCATAACTGAGATTGGAGTGGACAATGAAGCATTCGGACTTGCGATCGACGAATTGCCTTTGTTAGGAGAGAATTCCTTAATGAGATTACCAGTATCACCATCCACTCCTGGACTTATCCACATGGTCATTCCTGCTGCAATAGGGTTAGAAGCAGAACGATTGCGACACATGCGACGCTGATGGGAAATAAGACTATATTTTTGACGAAAAGCTTTACCACATTGATAGCATTTATGTGGCTTTTCTCCTGTATGAGTTCGTAGGTGTTGAACCACATGACTTTGCTGCCTGAACAATTTACCACATAAACGGCAACCATAAGGACGCTCACCACTATGTACACGCATATGTGTGGTGAGCTGAATTTTTTGCTTGAAAGCTCGTCCGCAGTGAAGGCATGGGTACGGCCGCTCGTCTGTGTGTGTGCGCATATGTTGTACCAAACCTGCCTTCACAGAAAAACTTCTCGAACATGTCATACATTGGAAAGGACGCTCGACTGAACTATCTTCTTCCTTCCCATCTACACCGTTGATAGAACTCATTGGCGAGATTTGGAGAAGACTAGAGCCAGACTGATTTCTTTGCTTATTAAAGCCCATCACATTGTTGCTACCAGTAAGTGGACCACCACTAGTAAAATTGAGTCCAAAAGCAGCCGCTACAGCAGCAGCTGCCGCCTGAGCGTCCGTAGTTGATCCTGTTAAACCATCGTTTAGTCTGCCCGAGTAGTCAGACTTAACACAGCTTCCTGTTTCATGGGGCAGAGGTCGAGATGCCGTTGGAGGAGGATAATTTGTCCCGGGACAAAACAAGTTGTTGTGAATAGGAGATGGGGTGAGCTCAAATGACTGGTGTTCATGATTTTGAACAAGACAATGATCCCCTGAACCACGTGATCTATTGGATTGTGAAACTTGATCCGGATCAGACCTGTTACAGGATAAAATATTGTAAAAAAAATTCAGAACATTCATAGAAACTATGTGTAGAAATTCGAAAACGATAAAAAGATGCGTTTCGAAATTGTCTTATGTCTGGAAATATCTCACAAAAGATAAGGTGGAAGACAAAAAAATTATACAATATACAGTAAATATAAAGGGTTAAGGAGTTTGGTTTCAACCGATGAACAATGGTCCGAACTCCGTACTGTCAGTTCTTCCACAAAATGACGATTAAAGCCAAATACATGAACGTTTACTTGGAAACTAAGTTACATTATTGTAGATTTAGTGTATGTATCGTGCATTAATTATGTTAATCAAAGTCACAGGTACGTAACTTGGTTAAGACGTAAAATTATGACTAGATTTCTTTGGATTCGACGTATCCTATTAAGATAACACAGAATTAAATCATGAGGAAAAGAACTAACTGATTATTGACCAACGCAAAGTGAATACATCAAATAAACTGCAATTGTCCTTCTGGATGTCGTTTTATGCTAGGTTTTTTGTTGTCTTTGATAATCAACGACTTTTTTACTCGAATATATTTTATAGTTAGAGTTTGTATTGTTTAACTCAATTTACATTAATTAAAACAAGTAAGACAAATTATAATTAAACGATGGAGTGATATGTTTAGGACCCGCATCTCTTCGTCGTTCCCGTAGCTCGTCAATATCAATATCAATGCATTTTTTATTTTATTCCTAATACAGAGATTTTGGTAATATAGAGCCCCAAAAATGCCGCACAGCAAATGTACGTTGATACTTCTGCACTACTCGTTTAATCTTCAACGAACGGTAGAGTATATATGTTCAGTTTAAGATGCGATAACCAGATTTACGATGCATACGGTTGATATTCTGCAAAAAGACGTTAACCAACTATTAACTAGACTACAGAATTGTAACTAGAGATTACCAAGACGGACATTTATATGACCACAAACAGTGTAGGATCTTAAACAAAAGTAAGTTTAAGCCAATACACTGCTTTAGTGAGACGACGCGACATTAACAAGATGAAAACCTAAGAACTTAAAATAACAGCAGCAAAAATAACAGAAAAAAACACAAGTATAGATGGATAGTGGCTAGCAATGGAATCCAAGACGCGCATCTCGTCCTATTTGGGACTCGTCAGCTGGATGTACCTGCACCTCAGAGTTGATGTTCACTCTGGGACTCGAACCTAGTACCGTTCGCTTCAAGCGCGTTGTCCACTTAGCTACTGAGTCCTGATAGCCACCTGCTTGTACAATGGGGTGAATTTTTAAATCTACTTGGTGTTGCTTACTTATATCTTCCCATTGTTATTTAGGACTGCAATTGATCAGTCAAATGGCTATCAGGACTCAGTAACGCGATGGCGTTTGAAGCGAACAGTACTGGGCTCGAGTCCCGGAGTAAACATCAACCCTGAGATGCAGATACATCCAGCTGACGAGTCCCAGATGAGACGAGACGAGAGTCCTGGATTCTACTGCTAGCCCCTATCCATCTTTGCTTATAAAGCTTGTGACCTAAGGCAATATCGAGACAATCCGCACAGTACGTACATGTGCTAACACGAGATTGATCAATTGCAGTACTGAATATCAGTGGGAAGATACAATAAACAACGCCAGGTGAATTTTACAATTAGTTCTTAAGAGGAAAATTAAATCTAGGAATTAGAATTCCAGAATTAATGTGAACAGTGAGTGAAAAGTCATTTCTCCATGAAGTATATTACGTAAGGTTTCTTAAGCACAGGGTACGCTTACAGGATGGATCACAATTCAAAAGCTTGATCGGTTACTGACATGATTTAATTTTATGTCCTGGTTTGACAACCCTTATGACTAGCACCGCATTAGCTTTCACTTAACAGTATACTACCAACATAAAGAGCTCTCAAGTGACCCCAACATTTAGTATATGATTTGAAGATATCTATGGTCGAATACCTATAACAGAAATATATCTTACATTTTCACTGGTCCAGTTTTGAATCCGTAAAATAGACAACTAACAATTTATTGAGACCAGCAACAATATTATCAAACGGATATTCTGAGTATGTACATCTAAAGATATTGAGATAGACTGTACGCTATTAATTTTAAAACGGAACCTTTCTTTATATCAATGATCCTACGGCCCATATTCATCAACACCCTTAGAACTTGAAATTGCAGACCATCGAGTAGTACCGGGAATAGACAATACTTCGAGTGCAAACCTTAATGTATAAACTTTTACTTGATTCAGAAGTTACAGTGAGTCAATCACAGGATCACAAAATACTATCACTGGCCTGTATATAAGCGTAGAATAAATTATCAAGTTACATCGATTATTAACTTAATATCCAAGAACACGATTCAGGTAATTATGCATACGTTAATGGATTACATCTCAATAAACTTCACAGAATCAACAGACATGTTTCTATGGCCAATAACATACATTTCAAAGCGTAAAGACATAAGACAGAATCAATAGCCATTCAACTACTGTTATATTTGAAGAGATTACGAGTTCACCTAATCTGAGAACGGAACGAAAACTCTGTGAGGCACAATGACAGATAAGCTAGCTAATCCGACGCGTCCCAGCCCAGCTAACTAGAGAGAGAAGTCCACGTTCAGAAGAGGGAAATATATTCCACAGGCAGCTAGAATCACGAACCACAAGTCTAGTCGGAAAAACACCCATTTATATATTGATTGATACACGCATTTTCGATTAAGAATTAGAATAAAATCACATATATGAAAATACTTAGTTATAACAAATCATATGCTCAGCATAGTTCATGTGATTTAATGCACGAAGATCGTGTTATACAGGATAAAATGTCATGCGGGAAAACAAAACAAATACTATCCTGAGTAATCATCACATTGAATTAAAACAGAATTAGTGTTGAACAGAAATTATAATGAGTAAATCAATCTAATTTTGACTTTTCATTTCGTTATATCAACTACTTGATTGGAGATTTCGGAAGTGGGAACTAAGATGTTTCAAATGACTAATAAACAATGTACACAAATAATTCCTATCCCTTTGAGAAGCACATGATAGCCAGGAATCCACCATCCGTTACGCGCAACGTAATTGTAAATCAAAAAGGCTCTGGGGTACTTTCTGTTGTTGGAAGCGTCTCAAGAGTCATACAAAGCTCAAGACGAAAGCGTTGCACCAAAATGTCGAAAATCTTGAAGTTCTGATATATATAACAAGTCAAAGTAGTACATAACGGTATAAATTTTACAACTTACACGATCAAGTTCACTAAGAATGAGGGATGATGTTAATATATGTTGGTTTCCAGGATATGAATAAAATAATTGATATTACCCAAGGACATATACTCAAGACCTTCTAGAAGATTGATTAAAATGCAGAATCGATTTATGGTAAAACCATCTCGTATACACTAAGTATGGTAACAGACAATTAAGTAATTCAATAAAACTGATAGTTGGCGTACAACAAAACGCTCCAAAGGTATTCTTAGTAATGGACTCCTATATCTCAGATATGAAAATGCCAAAATATTTTATTCGTTTCCACCCTAATATTATTGAGGCTGTAAGAATGAGCGAACACTCACTAAATATACATTTCAGACTAGTTTTTTAAGGAATGATTTAAACCAAATGACAAAAGAAGTTATAACAAGAAGTTACCATCTTAGAAGTAAACAATGCACTAGAATGACAACAATGACTTGAGCCATAGATAAAAACTTACTTGATCACATCTGGGCAGGAAAAGTGTGTCAATGTCGAGGGAAATAAAAAAGGGGCAGTAGACGTTGCTACAGCTGCAAGAAGCGGCGATGCTGAGTTGATAAGACTTGATGCTATGCATTGTGGAAGCAGAGAAAAGTTAGAAGGATTGTTCGTAAAGCATGGTGTTGTATTTTGAGAAAATATATTGCTCGAAATATCACCAGGGAAATTACTAATGTGAGAAAGTTGACTACTAGAACTTCCGGAAACCTTAGGACCAACATGTTCAAACTCGCTGAAAACTTGTGATATAGCACCAAGCTTTTGTATACACTTCTGTAAATATTCGTTTGTAAAAGCATCGTAGTCAATCTTTTGTCTGAGTTCTTCGATTGACATTGACAGCTTACATGAATGTTCCTCCAAAGCACGCTTTTGATCAGCAACAGAGCTGAACTGGTCAGCTTTCAAACAATCCAGCTGGGGAGCTTTGTTATCTCCAGGAAAGCGTGAGTTCCACAGTTCAAGAAATTGAGTGAAGAAGTTCATCAATGATTTCCCGTAAACGATGAAAAATTTATGGAAACCAACATTTAACACCAGTGCGAATAATGTTAGATTCTCAGGAAAACGGATAATCCGCGTAGAACTGTTATTTTAATGGAAAGCATAGTATATCCATTTGAAATTCCTATTGAAAAGTACATCTGAACACTAAGGAAACGGTCGATAACAAATTGCTGGGTAAATTAGTATTGTAATTTTGAAACTGCCGGAAAGACCATGTTGCGCAGCTATCAAAAGCACCACACATTCCAATAAGTGTATAAAATTATGAAACGTAACAGATTATGCCATATAATAAAAACTATTTGATTATTATAATGATAATATGGATGAAATCTGAGTACCACGTGAGTTTAAGCTTTTGTTATCATGACGACAGGCAAAAAAATGAAAATGACCTTCGAGTATGCTATTACTCTAGATTTGTACTGTATAGTGACTTTAAGATAATTTTCCTTCAGAGATCCTTCTGTATAACTTTAGTACAGATAGTAGTAAATAATAATATCAGTGCTTGCACAAAAGTTCATTATAAATCACTTATATGCTGAGTAAACCAGAATATTTGTTAAGTGACTTATCAAAACGTTTTACAGAAGCATTGATATTATAATTTGCAATCACTTTAATTGATATATCACAATATCTATTGCAATGAATCAGTTGAAGTTTATCTTACAGAGCCGAACAATAAACATGCATTATCTCAAGCTCCCAACGTTTGGGGAAAAAACATATGTTTTTTTCAAATAGGGTGAATATTAAAACAGTTTTCTTTTTGGTTACATATATGTTGCCATGTATATATATATGGAAAACGGGGCAGAATGTAAAACTCTGATAATTTATTATATTACAATATTACATGCCGATGCTTTGTGTTTTGGTTGACACTCCCATAAGTTTGCCACATATAGTGAGGGACAAAACCTAGACCATTTGATCTTGATTTTTCAAATTTCTAAGAATACCCTTTGAGAAAGGAGAGAAAGATTAAAACATAGTTGTTCTGAAATCATAATTTAGTGTGTTATAAGCCAGTGTTGATTCACTTTTTTGTGATCCTGACGTTTTTAATGTGTTATTGCCTCCAATTACGTTTTATGTTTAGAAAATGTATTCGTATGTTTGCTCAACTTTCCATGTGAATGCTAATAATAAATGTAAATCACTAAAATATATACATTTTTGATTAGTTCTTTGTCCGAAGTATATGAGTTCGTGCGATAATAACCTTTAAAAGAATGAAAGCGTTTAAGAGATATTGTAGCAAATTACTTTTGAAAGTTTGTAACTCAAGTAACCAACCTGGTTTTCTATGATCCATCCACCTATAGGCAAATTTATATCGGTTACAAAGTATACACAAAATGCAATTGTTCTAATTTGTTATTTACCGAGTAAATTTATCACATGCACTATAAAATCACTGCATGGTAATATAAACGTAGACTTTCTCATTATCCAATATTATAGTTTACTTGATTTGAGCTGTCCATCCACAAAATAGACTTTATTCGTTTGCTTATTACCAATCTTTACTAGATGGGTGCAAGGACTGAAGAAGTTTCAATTTGGATTCTTAGGTGATCATATTTTGTGTATAAAATGTGGTCCATCAATAAAATTTCATGATATATTAACTGATAAGATTGAAACACTTCATTTGCCCACAAAACATTCAACTGTTCTATCCATACATCCACTAGAACCTTATTTTGCTGTAACAGAGTTATGTAACGTGAACCCAAAGGTTTACGTTTACAGTTATCCGCAAAAGGATGAAAATGTTCTGAAAAGTAAGTTGCGATCCGATTCGCAAGCTTTGTCAATTTTGATCAAATAGATGCTGCCAAATTGGAGATTCAACAGTCCATCTTTTCCTATACCAAGTATTATGCAACAGTGTCTGGCATACCTGATTTTATTCTATCAATATGGTAAGTTGACTTATTGGTATAAATCAATGTTCTGAATTTTGTGATCTAAATTTGCGTCTCAGTTATCTGACTTGATACCTTCATTTATTATTATGTCAGTTAGTTCCAGTGACTACTGATCACAAAAGTTTTAAGCTGTTTTACCATCATTTAAATTCGGAATAACAGTGATCTAATTAATTTAATCAAACTCTTAACATGTCAGAAAACTAACCTCATACAGATTAAACTGATTCAGATAGATACGCACTAAAAACCAACAGACATAATTCACTCCAGATTAGTGTGTGAACTTTAAAAGTGATTTTCTCTTAAGAGTTAAGCTTTGAGATTTGGCGTCGATAGGTTCATGTTTCATCTCTTTTAATTATTGGCAAAACTAATTGCCAATCAGAATTCAGACTCACATCTTTTAGTAAGCAATCAGATATTAGCATACAAACTTTGAGCGGGGAACGAGATGGTTGATAGTTGTTATGCGAATATTATTATTATTTGAACACATAGATATTGGTACAAGGAGACACCAAATATATATGCGCCAAAGGAATCTCATTTGATTTGTGTGGGGGCTGTGATACTGACCGGATGCCCAAGCCGAAGCAGGTGGTTTTCTTAGAGGGCCACACCCCGAGCCTTCGACCTAAAGGTCGGATCCACAAGGCAGTGGAGCATCGTATGGAGATGTAATCCTATGGTAACCGGTGATCAACGATTGGTTCATACTCCATTTGTTCCCTTGGGGCACTGGAGCCCATGTGCACCATTGGTTTGGAATCAGGGCTTTCCAACTCCCCTAGGTGAACTCCTCATGTCCGCCAACCCGGTTAAAGCGCCGGACATTCGCTCTTCGTCCTCTCAATCTCGTAAACAACACTCTCGCCACGAGAAGGCAGTGAGTAGGACTTCCCTGGTAGAGGCTATATACGCGTGGCCGTGTGAGAAAACTTCGAGAGGATGAGCGGACTTTCCTCACTCTCGGCCATACCAGGACATTTGGGGGCTGTTATGCGAATATGAAAAAACATGTTGAATCTAAAAATAAGATCATGAATTATAAACACTGTTGGCTGTCGGTTTTTCCCGCATATCTCAGTCATGAAGTACAACCCTAATCAAATTACAAACTAATGACAGTAATAACGACCCAACTCGTAGATATATATTTCCCTCTGAGATTAACCCAGAGAGCTATTTTAAGAAGTCCGGTTTGCCGGTATAGTTAACTTGTGAAACGTTTAGTGCTGTTACAAGTTCTACTCAATCATAACCATCCAACAAGTTATCACCATGCTGCACTCTATAAGACTTAAGAGTTGACAAGCTGTGTGTCATATTCATTACGGATTTAAATCTTTTTGGTTATCACAAACACGTAATTCAAAGCCACGATGCAAGTGTCACATAATTTAAAACATGACATTATATTTGATGCTACAGTTGACTAAGAATTATACAAGCGGATCTACTAATGGTTAACTAAAATCAACAGTGATATTTTTATTGTCTTCACTTTCATGGCTTTTACTACTAAAAGCAGTAGTTGAATGCCATTTCACCTCCAGTTTCATTGAGGAACACCCATTTTATAAATGTTTTTGGTCAAAATTGATAACCCTTTTCTTTACAAATATCCCAATTTTATGTTGATCTGTGAATTTAGAGACAATTATCAACATTGTAAAAGACTTGGTCTAATGGGACCTTAATCAGAATACATCTGTGTTTAACTCTTGTATTCAGGAAACAGGTTTTATTTGATGACATTTTATAGTGGCCAAAATAAGTGAATTCCAGCCCCGATCGGAACCATTAGTTCTATTTATCAGATTGTTTACGTGATTATTTTCTTTTGGTCATTGTCATTGAGACTCAGAATAAAATCTTTTAAATACCGTGAAGATATATTTTGAGTCACGATAACCAGTAAGTATCCAGTGATGCATGGTCTCCTGTAAATCGTACTACTAGCAACATCCAAATACTGTTTGAATGAGTTTGAAATAACCGCTGTCAATTTTTTAAAAACATTCTGATATGTCACTATAAGCTAACTTATTCAACCCAGCGAACCTTCAACTTAAACTTTATAAGACGCTCAACTTGTATTTTTGTACTGATTTGTTGAAGGAATAAAAACGACGTACGATAACCCATAATGTTATACCTGCAAATTCGTTAGGTTGATAGTTGATTTAGAGTAACCACTTATTTATGTGTACCAAACGTCAAAAAGAAATCCAGGAATGGACAAACGTTATGGTTCAGTAAACATGAATTCCTGACTACTGATTTTTATAGGGTTGCCAACTGTTACTTTTTGAACACAACTATTGTTCATTGGGTACTAAGATAACTAATATTCCATAGTAAGGTAACCGAGTTGATGAATACTCACAAACCCAAATCTTGGTTTCCGAATGAACGAATATGAAAAGCTTTGGCAAACAATTACGTACTTTGAACTTATTTCCGAAATAAAAATTTAAACGAAATAGCATTGCTACGAACTATAGAACAGGTAGCATATATTTCATTGAGAGAAAAACTGAATGAAGGAGGAGCTAAACCGAATAACGTTATGGAATCTTCATAATAATATATTACTTTCAAATAGCTTAAATTTCCATAGCATTTTTGAATGATGGTTCCTGTATAAGAGACTGTAGACGACTTCGATGTGTAAATAATTTCTAAACATCACGGACTGAGGCTCTCACGATAAATAAAACTGAATATAATATCTAAGCCGTCGGTTTGAGATATGTTATGAGAAAAACGATTTGTAGACTAATTTTAGTAGTTTATATTTACACCATTCATTCTTTTTATAGGGATTTTCATTCTTGTGAAATATTGTGCAAAACTAATTTAAATGGATTACATTTAACAACATTCAGCTTTTGTCCGACAGATTGGCATTATCTTTTGGGAACAGATCATCATTGTATACATGTCTGGCAGATTGAAACATGTGACCAAATGAATTCTATTAAATGCAGGTAAGACTTACTATCCTACCGGCATACGCAAATGTATGTTTAATAATTGCATCGTAACAAAACTATATAAGCTCAATAACTGTAAATTTTTTTTTAAAAAAATGGGTATAAACATCAATAAACTGAAGAGCTACGAAATCTCTAGCCATATTATAAACCAACGTTACCTCGATTTAATTTTGTTTAATTCGCTTGTTTCAATCACCAACTCTCCAACAAGTTACACATTTGTTCTTCCAAAGACTAGCCCGATATTCATAGTCTACTGAGATGCCGTATCAAAATTTTAACTACGGGGTTTAATAACACTTGTTCAAATCTTTATTTCTAAATTGTTATTGACATAAGTTTTTGATATTTATAACCTACATTTTTTAGAATAAGAAAGCTTTTTATAGCCTTGAACAACAATAAATCTATTCACTTGGCTACGTTTCACTAATATGAATACTTAAGAAAAATGAGAAAAAAATAGGTGTTCAAAATTCATAGAAAGACGGTTCCAGGACTTAAAGCGTATCTTAAAATGTATTTTTGAAAACACTAGCAGAAAGTGCTTCGAAAGCATCTGAAATAGAATACGTATATACTTTTTTATTCTCCATTATCGCTAACATGTTTCACTGACTTGGTAAGTCATGAAATAAGTTTATGGATAATGCATTCAAATATCCTAGCAGTTATAAACGGCGTAGGTTCAAGAATGCAGAATCAACATTCTGAACACAATGTCAAAGAAAATCAATCGTCAAATATCATTTTGTTTATTATACTCACGTAGCATAAACCATAATTTGAGTATATACTAATGTATGTGAGATATTTATATTCAAATGAATAATGATTAGTTCTATTTAATAAATATCTTACTGATTCATTACTAACTTCATAAAATTAATTTCAGTTCGATGATATTACCAGAACGTACCGTTAATCTTGGGCCATATTATGGACCACATAACAATAAGACCAATGAAGATACTACAGGTATACGATATGAAACAAGATTCGATCTAAATATACTGAGATCTTCAATTACAGGTGACTTAATATTTACTGTTGCTTTCATTGCATTCTGTTTCACCTGTTCCTTATCTTGTGTTACTTTCACTTACGTCTATCGTTTTTTCTACCTGGTAAGGACTTAATGAATCCAGAGAAGAAGAGTTTGACGATTATATGGACATATCTGTTCGATTAAATTGCGTTTCACAGACTTGGACAAATTCAGAATTAGTTTTCATCGGCTGTGAAGGAGGCCAGTTGTTATTGGTACGTTTCATTTACGATTGTCAACTTTTCATCTTTATTTGGTTGTCTAGAATATATTTCTCAGACTCTTCACTAATATCTTAATAACGACGCTATCAGTAGTTAACCAAAACTATAGTGTTGTTCGATTACTTTCAAACTTTTTCATCTGAATATATTCATAGGTAACTTAATAGTTGAATTCATGAGTCAATTGAAGCTAGACCACCGTGGGAAACCTGAAGGCACTGAACGGCCGTTTCATCTTAGTATGGGACTCCTCTGCAGTGCGCATCCACGATCCCACCCCGCGAGATTCGAACCCAGGACCTATCAGTCTCGCGTGCGAACGCTTAACATTTAGACCACTGAGCCGGCATCCGACGGTGTCAATGTCTAACTTCAACCACAGGTGTTAATTTGAAAGCTGTTGTTAAAAATAATTCACTGACCAACTAATCTACGAATATACTCCAAACCCTTGAAATGTTTTATTAAATTTATTATTTATCCAATAAGCGTTAAAATATGAGGCTTGACATAAACTTAATGCGTATCCTATGCGTATGTAGAAAGGCTTTGTAAGTTTGGTCTGAATAATTTAGTTACGTTGAGTGTAAATGATGAAAAGTTAGGGTAGCAGATCATAACTGATTCATCAATAGGCTTTGACAAGTAAATATTACGTTTTATCCTTATTACGGTTGCGGCATCTATCGCAAATATTTCAGAAATGTAATTAAACTGGATAATGAACTTTTATTCCTGTTTCAGTGTTATTACTGATCCAATATAATAAAAAATACATGTCTTTCAAGCCCTGATTTCCAAGAATTAAGATAGATTACTTAAGTAACTACTGGATCATTGAGACAAACTTATACTTGTAGCAGACAAATTAAACCTATTTTAATGAAAACTTCACTGTCAGTAAAACTTTATTTGTTAGAAAATTTCGTTAGTATTTAGGGGGACAAATGCCACAATAGACCTAATAAAAAAAACACTCAGTGCTGACCTCCCCAAATGCTGTTCCGACTGGTGTATATTTGCAGTAGGTAAAAAATTCCAAAAACTTTTCTAGTGTTTAACTATGTTTTTTGATGTCAGTGAATTACAGTTTAAAATTTACTGTTTATCCCATGTAAATGTTGGGAAGTGAAATAAATATAGAAAACAGCCATGTTTAAAAAATTCAAAGAATTTATGATAATGATGTTGTAAACGTTAGTGTAATTTTAAACCTGAAATCAAAATTGGTTACCTCGTAAATAATCTAACTATAAGTAATATTGAATTCTTTCTTTTATCTTGTGTAGTGAATTCACATTTTTAAATACAACAAGCTTATTACTTCTTTTTCTTTTCAAGTTTGACCCACTCAGCATGAATATGAAAATTTTACTGAACCCAGCTTCTCGTTGTCAGTGTCTCAAAGGTAAGGAAGACAATAGTGCAATAACAATTATGAAAATCAACAGATTTTTTCTAAAATTTCTTCTAAACAACATAGATAAATAATGACAGATATGTTTTATTTGTCTGTAACATGCGAATAATTTATAAACCAATCATCGATTGTGTATAACACTATTCTGTTCATATTTGATCGTTTTGCAATTTAGTATTAATTTTTGGCTAGATGTTTTATTCAGTAAAATCTTAATATTAAAGAGTAAAGTTCACCGTTTTCATATCATCAGATATTTTTCAAGTAAAAATAATTACCGTAAACCTGTTCTCAGAGGTCCCGACCGTTGTTGCTACCTTGACGTGGTGGTCGGGCTTGCCTATCATGATGAACCAATCGAGCTATACTGGCTGGAACAATCATTCTTCAAGGCCCTACCATTCCAGACAGGTCAGTTGAAGGGCGGTAAGACTAAAAGCAACAAACCCAAGGTCTGAAAGCGAAGTCGTACTCCTGACGGCAGTAAGGTGTTTCCTTCAGATAACCAACATAACAGCGATGCTGCCTTCCCACAAGGAGGGGTAGGGTTGGAAAAGGTCGACCCTAAAAATGCACAACTTGCCTTATCCCATGGATATTCGTCTCCTGTGGTAAGGTCTCAACAAGTACGGAGCTAACACGAAAATTACCCACAAAAAGATCGTGTCTGACCAACCTCAAGCAGTTGTCCCTTGGGCATTGCGGTCACGCTCTCGGTTCACTAGGACCACCTTTAATCCGATTTCGTTTTCAAGTACCTACAGAAAAACCCTTCCACGATGTGGGTAACCGGAAAATGATAACTGCCCTCATACCTCTAATAGCACTCACTACCACTGTATTCATAATCAACCTCCCTCTTCGGTTTCTATTATTCCTCCTGCATCGACCGTCAACACTAAAATTCCACTTTTGGCTCAAGTTTCGCCATGGCCAACGAGTCTAGTGCTCAAAACACTGTCTCAGGTCTACTGAAACCTCGCTCCAGACTACACATTGAAGCCTTCAACATACGCACCCTGTGTCAAATCGGCTAGCAGGCCTCCTTGGCTAAAACCCTGAAATCTCGTACCATTGATTTATGTTGTGTCTTCGAAACACGCATATGGTATCCTAGTGTGGTCATTCACTTGATCACACCTTGCCAAAACGGAGAGCCGATGAGATACATTCTCCGTGTATCTGGCGACCCGATGGCTAGTTGTTGTGAACTGGCAGGTGTAAACATATCACTAAGTACGAGAGCGGAACAAGCACTATTAGAATAGATCTCCGTTAACAGTCGTCTATAAGCTGTTCGGCTAAACGGCCCCGTAAGATCTCTGAAGGATAGGGACACATGTCGTTGCATAAGGACAGACATCGTTTAACATGACGACTCCTTGCACCAAACCAACGATGGAGTCAAATAGACCATATTGCCATCAGTCTTCGTTGGAGAAGGTCGATGGAAGATTGTCGGTCATTCTGGAATACCTGCTTGGACTACGACCATGCTCTAATACGGGCACGAATCTACTTGCGTCTCACTGGACGCAGGAAAGCCACATTAAGAAGACCTATCAGAATTGAATTGAGTGGTGAGAAAGACGAAAGTAGATTCTAGGAACAAGTGAGGTCACACTTAGATAGTTCTGAAAACGAGGCTGATCCAGATGTTGCTTGGAAAGATATATACAAACAGCTGTGGGAACAGCAGTGACGTCTGTGTTAGTGACTTAAATCAAAGGGTTACAAAAAACCAATGGATTTCTTCTAAGTCTATTGCACTGATGGATTATCGTAAACTCATCCCATCAGGCTCTGAACACGATGAGCGTAAGCAAATCAGATCTAGGTTGAGCAAAAGTCCAAGGAACGACCGTGAGCAGTGGTGGGCAACGAAAGCAAAAGAGATGGAAAATGTGGCGGCTGTAGGTAACACCAGACAGCTCTACAGACTAATAAAGGAAACTGGAACTAAAAAGTCAGGTGTAAGTGAAACTATCTCAGTAAAAGACGACACTCATCTTCTCCCAGTTTAGACGTTTAGAACGATGGGCAGAACATTTTAGAGAACAGTTCAGCTGGCCTTCAGCTACTCTAAAACTACTCACCATTCCCAGACAGTGTGAACGGAACATTGAATGAAGTAGGTCCCCCGACTCTAGCTGAATTTCACAAGGCTATAGTTAGTCTGAAACAAGGGAGGGCAGATGGATTTGCTTTAGAGGTCTTTAAGGATGGTGGTCCAAATTTAGCGATTAGGTTGACTAAAGTTTTAGCTAAAATCTGGAAGTTGGACGAATCCCCTCTGATTGGTCACAATCACTTATCGTCCCAATATATAAGAAAGGGTCAAAATCATCCTGTGACAACCATAGAGGGATTAGTTTGACTAATATAGTATCTAAAATACTAGCATCAATAATTATCGGACGCCTTACTAAAACTCATGAACTGCAAACACGAGAAAATCAGGCTGGCTTCAGACCTGGTCGTGGCTGCATCGACCGCATATTCATCATTCGTCAGGTTCTATAACACATGCATACTTATCGGCGTCCGACAATGGTGGTATTCCTTGATTTAAAAGCAGCATTTGACCCTGTAAACCACAAGATTCTGTGGCAGTATCAGTCACTGAAATGTATACATCAGAAGTACATAAACCTTGTGAAGGCTCTTTACTCGAACACTACTAGTCGAGTCAGATCTTATGACGAAATGCCATCTGCTTTTGCAACCTCAAGTATTGTCTGTTAAGGCTGTCCACTCTCTTCATTTTTGTTTAACTTCATCATAGACCTACTGCTGGAAATAGCGCTCTCGTTGATCGAATTTTCGGGCATTGATCTCCTACCAGAAGGTCCACTTATCTACTTTAAATACGCAGATGACATAGTCCTGTTTAGTGGAGATGCTGATAAAATGCAGAATGTTTTGGTAGCACTGAGCAACAATGTCAGAATGTTTGGGATGCGTTTCTCCACATCCAAATGTAAGTTGTTGCTTCAGGACTGGCCTGAGTCAACACGTGAACTAAGGATAGGGAGTGAAGTAGTCGAACGCGTTAGCAACTTCACTTATCTTGGAAGTCTGATCAGCCCTAATTGGTTGATGTCTGACGAAATCTCAGCACTGCTTCGAAGAGCTCGTTTGGCTTTTGCCAACTCTCGTCACCTATGGCGAAGGCGAGATATCCATCTATGAATTAAGGGACGAGCATACTGCGTGGCGGTTCGTTGTGTTCTACTTTACGTCTGAGAAACGTGGCCATTAAGAGTGGAAGATACTCATAAGCTACTAGTATTTGAGCACAAATGCCTTAGAAATATTGTTGACATCTGCTGGGATCACTGGGTATGTTAGACGCAGGGTATTAGTGAATGATGGTAAATCAGTTGATGAGGTTGTGAATCTTCATGGACTGAGATGGTTGGGCCACGTGTCGCGTATGCCTGGACTCCGATTACCACGACGCTCAATGCTGACTAGTGTTGGGGATGGCCGGGAGGAAGTTAGGTGTGGCCAGACGAAAACGTGACATCAGTGCTTGAAGTCACTATTATCTAGCCTTAGCCGTGTTGGAAGATGCAATCTATTTAGTTGGGGTCTGCGTGACTATCGTAACCAATGGTTGGAGATTGTAGGTGACATGACTCAGAATCGATCACAATAGATAAGGTGTATACACTCCCTATCTTCGTTTAAACTATGAGATTAAAATCGCTTTATAACTTTCTTTCTACTAACTAATTCTTTCTTCCTGTATTATGTTCTCATACGTAATCTTTTTTTATATATTACTACCATTGAATTAAACTACTTCTATGAGTTCGTTGTTTATCTTGTTGTGCTAATGAGGTATGGTAACTTGGACCGATGTACATATGTGCCTGGTCCTACGTTGTAGCTGAATAACTGACTGTCAGAGTTCTATTAAAAGATATATGAACGTTTTCATGACTATTTTAATATCGGGCTATTATACTATATATATAAATTTATTACTTATATGCAAAAAATTCATTTTTCCATATCAGTTCACTGATAAGCGTTTTATTTCATTTTCTTAATTGACATTCTTTTCTGAATATATAGAAACGTTTGAAAATACTCCTGATACAACTGATTGCAATTGTGATTTTATCTCAACAGAATCTTCATTAATTAATTCAGAAGTGGAAATAGTCAATAAACTAGAAGGATGTTTAACCTATTTATTATATACAACGCATGGTTTATTAGCCGGGGGTAGTGATGGTGTTCTACGTTTACTAATTTTAAGTAAAGCAACAAAAACGATAGTTAATAAAATAAATCCATTCAACAGAGGAAGTGATGAATTATCTGTCAAAGTAAATGAAGCATCATTAGTAAAAAATAGTGAAAACTATTTATTCAACACTGAAATTCAAAACTGTATAAATCTCTATAAATTTGAAAACCTGATACAAAATAATCGATACCATTGGGGTAAAAATATTACAGGTTTGAGTATATCATCATCTTATAGACAAATTGCAGTTAGTTGTCGGCTTGGTTATATGAGTTTATTTAGTTTACATGATTCTCTACAGTCTACTCTCAGTCCTGATAGAGAAGTATTTACTAACTGTGATCGATTTGTTGGGATGGGACTAATTACATTTGAAAAATCAACGATTTGTGTTGTAAGTTCATTCGAGTATCCGTTTTGGTCTACTCTTTGTTAGCGCAATAATTTTAACTGATACACCAATCAAGATATTATTTATCTATGCTTAGCACTAGGGATTCACTAAAACATTCTTACCATGTGCAGATAAAAACAAAGGAGTGTTGAACGAATATTCAAAATTTTAAGTCAATGAGAGCACAAGATAATCTTTACCATAACCATCCATTTTGAGCCAAGTGATTCGCCCACAACTAATTTTCGCTGTCTCTGAGACTCAGACCATAAGTTTATTGTATTTCCTCATAGGAATAACAAGTTCATAGAAGATTCATATATATTGAAATCTACTAATACTGAATTTCTATATCGAACCGAGTGATAAATAATCATGTTTCGAGAATAGTCAATGTCTAATTTCTTAACCTTTTATATTTACACTACTGAATAAGGTACAAGTAGTACAACTTAATTTCACGACATACATGTCAACAAACTATTGAAAAACAGAACTGTCTGAAGAAATAGATGAATTAAAAATAGTTTTTGATTTAACTATTCCCATGGTCGAGAACACTTTGGTTTTCCAATTTTTGGTTAAATAGCTTCGCAAAATAACAGACTATTAACAAGTTCTCTTAATAAATTCAAATAGTGCGTGATCAATAAGATTTGCAAAAGTAGGTCCTTTTCCAAGTGAGTTCTGGGGATCTAACGTCCCCAAACAGAATTAGACTTGTGGACGATGGTACCTGTAATCTTTTAAGACAAACCAGAAATATGTCCATTCTGATAACTGAGTAAAGATATGAAGTAAAATAGTAACCCAATTTTTTAATTGTCATGTTTCTTCAAATAATTTCGTCTACCTAGAGAGTCATAGTGAAACGGGATTCACAAAACAATGGCAACGCAATAAATACTATTTTAAAAATCTGAAGAAAATATTAGTAATGTCAAGAAACAGTGTAAAAAATGTTGAACAATATTCGGGGGACTTGCAATTATTGCAATTTATGCACATTTAAATTAGATTAAAAATAAGGTCCACTGATTAAAACGCTCAAGGTTACCATTGAATGTATGCATTACTAGGCATCACATGACAAAATTTAAGTTGTAAATTATTTTTTTTCACCACTATCAGTATCTGGTATGTAAGTATTCACATTAAATTTGTCTTCGCATACTTCATATTGGAATGACTGATTTCCAAATATTTTCAGTATAAATTATAGTTTAAAAACTGGTTTATCATTTTGTCTATTGTAAAGACTGCAGGAACTACCGGTATAATCAATTGTTGGGATTGTAAAACAGGAGAATTAATTGGATTGTTATTTCTCAATGATACAGTAAGAAGTTATACTTACTTTTTTATCAGTATTATTATTCTCTTTTGTTACCATTTATCATTTATTCATACTAATTCCATCCTCTTTGTTTTTCGTAATAATGTAATTTTATCGATATTTGTAATTTAAATAAATGGATACAAGCATATTACAATCAAAATTAAATCAATGAGATTTTATTTTGTTTAACTTAATTCTTAATTTGACATTTAACTCATTCGAGACATATAATTCATCTTTCATAAATAATAAGGGTTTATATTTAACAAATAGAAATTGTTACTTAGAATATTTAAAATCATGCCAAGAGCAATTACATCAAAAATACAAAATATTAATTTATGAATTTGTCATATGATGGAAGTCTTAATTTATATTTTTTACCTAAAATATCATTTGTATTGAATAATTATTTCATTTAATAACAAAACTATATCAAATATCATGTACTTTTAATATTCTAAAGCCTTTTGTTTATAATATTGCTATGCCCCGACAAGAATAGTGAATGGTAATTTTGGGATCCATTTGTGGACCAATACTAAACGTATATTTTTATCGTATAATTGTTAAATAACTAAATTATTCATATTCATGTTCCTCTTATTATAAGCTTTATTTTGACCTATGAACGATAATAAACGTTTTACCATTCTTGAATTATGCCCTGCTCATCAGTCACTGCCTCCCACATTCACAGCCGCATTTGGCCAAATTTTGTACAAATATTATTTTCTATTTTATGGTACGTTGTGGTCTGTTTAATTAGTATGTTGATATATAACGATTCGTATTGCAGAGGCTGAGATTGGCGTTCTGGACTTAACTGGCTGGGCTAGGCGGAAAGCAGGACCAATCAGAACTCTGGGCCGCTCGCACGTGTTTTACGCGTCCTTGGTCCGATCAAAATTCACTGTTCTCCAATCGGTGGCCTTGAGATATAACCAATATTTACTTTACGTATTTTATAAACATTTTAAGATTAGGTGGAATTTTAATTAGATAAATAGAATTATACTGTGGTGTGTGCTACTTATGTAGACACAAGTAGTATATGATTTTAGTCGTAAACAAAATGTCTGGCAGCAGGGAGACAAGAAGATCAAACAGTGAAGAATGAAAACAGAATGCGATTTATATGGACATGCAAGAACAACGAAGTCTGAGTCATTCTGAGACAATTGATGAATATTTTGCAAATTGAGCCTTTACTATATGGTTGTTAGATTTTATGAACAAGTTCTGTAATTTGTTGTCGAATACATTCGATTGTTTCCACTGGTGTTCTGTTCACTACAATACTACTAACAAGTAATTAAAAATTCACGAAATTCTAATTGTTATATTATTAGTTAGTTATTTAAAATCTTTGATCCTTTATAATTAATGGTTGATTTACCTGATGAATAACGGTAAGAATGATTAACTTCAAAGCTCATTGCTTATAAACCACCAGTGATTGTAATGAAAATAACGAAAATTTTAACTTTATATGGATGTCAAAATTATTATGTGTTGGCCCTTTAAAATAAGCTGCTATTGAACAAAATTTGACTTGATATCTATGTATTGGTAACAATAGGGTTTTAATCTCAAATGTTTCCTGACACATAAGTTTTGAGAAATTATATTTTCTTGACATTTCACGGTTTTTATAAAATTTTGTCTAACATTGTCCTTTTTAAAATCATTAATTACTTTCTAAGAGATAGAGTGTTTTGAAAACAGATTCACTAGATAGATATTTTATTAAAAGTATGGATTCTTATTTCACAAAAGATGCATTCTTTTACAATTGATTAATCACTGAGAAGTGATCAATGTCATTTATGTTAAGTTCTTCTTAGTGTTAATCGAATTTTATAAGCCTAGTTGCGATGTGGCCACAAGTTTAAGTGACTCTATATAGTGTACAGTATCTTGAAATGTAGGGTAGTGGTCGGAGGTAATCGACAGAAAATCATAAACCTAGGTTACGTGCTATTTTTCACTCGTTAGTCAAGTGCTGGTCAAATTCTACAGAATGATCGTTTAGTCCTTTTCTAATAATGTTTTGTGGATACCTGTTATTTATTACCTGGTTTAGTCTTCCTCAATTGATGATAAAATTCATACTTGCTAGGGCCTAGTAAAGCTCGGAATGTTTTAACAAGTAGTAAATCTTAGTCAGCTGATAAATTTTCCGAATCAGTTATTGGTGCTTTAATTATGAAAATAAGTCAGTAAATCGGCTGGTAATATTGGATAAACTAATGATATGCTATATCTTCTAAGAACCCTGTTTTTTCGTAACAACACGATGTTTATTATTGGAAAATATTTGAAAAACTTTTTAATCTACTGAACATTCCTATTTTTTCCTTAACCTAGTGTCATTGTTTGGCAGTTTCACCAGTTTTGCCTTTAGCAGTTGCTGGAATGAATTCTGGTTCTATAATGTTTATTGACTTTACTAGTCCCACTTCACCGAGCATTGTAAATGTTATTCGACTCTATCGTAAACCTCTTACACATATTGCGTGAGTGTATATTATGAAATACTTATATTTGTACATTTTTGTCAGATTATTTTACATGTAAATATTAAAAGCTGACACCCTGACCTTTTATGCATAACTGAGGAGGTGTTTATTTTGTGTACAGGGATAAAGAACATATTGGACTTATTTCAATACATGTTACTTGTGATAAGATGGTGGTTGAAGTTAGTCAACAGTAAACTCTGGACTTGGGTTTCGTGCTACTTAGTACTCGTCAACAAGATGTACCTGTAATTCTGAGGGAACTGACAGAGCACTGAATCATTACTGACGTATTCACTTACAAATAGTAGGGAAACATCTTCATAAAAAGACAAACAGTGAAATCAACGAGTTTACCAAATTTGACCTAATAAATTTTCATTCTATCTGATCAAACAGATAAATAACAGATTTATCTAGTAATCGTTCATATTTTGCAATTGTGAATTGTTTATGAATATTATTTCACTTCAGATAATTTAAGTTGACAAATGTTAGTACAAAAAAAGTGATGATAATATCTGGATATTATAAACTTGAATTAAACATGGATGACGTAACCTACATACAATGGTGATAAATTATCAACTACTATGATATAACAACCAATAAAAACTATATAATTTAATATAATATTCTATCATAAGATATTCACTAACCAATGTGCAATAATAATTTTTACAAAACAGTACATTTGTAACTTAAATTGTCAACTATTAAAAAATAAACTAAGGACAAGAGCTTATCGAATATATATCGATTGAATTTAGACATTAACACCGTTAGACACCGACTCAGTGGTATACAAGTTAGGTAGCCGCACGCAAGATCGATAGGTCCTGGGTTCGAATATCGCATGCGAGATCGTGGGTGGACACTTCTGAGGAGTCCCATACTAGGACGAAACGCCCTTCCATTGCTTCCAGGTTTACGATAGTCGTCTAGCTTTGATTGTTTCATGAATTCAATAATTACATTATGTAGGAGTTGATATAAACTGAAAAAAGCTGCTCAAAGTTACAACACTATATATATATATATATATATATATATATATATATATATATATATATATATATATATATATATATACATATGAATAATTAATACCAATCACAATTCACGAACTAAATCACAAGAAATAAAGTTATTTACCATGTATACAAAGAATTTGACATACATAAATATTTAATATGAAGTATCTCAAAATCAAATTATTATTTTTGTAAATAGAAAAAAAATTGTCATTTATTCTATATACTACTAATAGTATGATTATGAAAGTCTACATTAAAATAACAAGGATTTTTATTATTAATATTATTATTATTATTAATCGTTATGATACTGAAATAACTTGTTTATTCCACTAGTAAATAATTATCATTATCTTAGATTACTTTGTTTTTATATTTAATTACTATGAAATTTTTAAATATTAATAAAAACTTTATTTCTATCTAAAATCGTTTTAAGTAGATCTAATTGAATAATTTCATTTTTTGTTTTTATATCATCCATTTCTTGAAAACATGAACCGGTTTGATAATTTCTGAATTTAAGTTGACCAACAATATATCACATAATTAATAAATAATTCGTTTTATACTATTTAGTAATGTGTCATTATTTTATTTTCAGATTTGACCCTGATGGTGAATTTTTAATTACAGTAATAGATGATGGTCCAAGTATTTTAATCTCAGCACTACCTACCAAATCTTTTGAACCAATAGGTTATGTGTGTAAGTTCATTCGTAATATTTTCTTAATTATCATAAATATATTGATAGAAAGTATACTGAAAACAGTTATAAGCATAACAAATGCTTGATAACAACTACTAAGGTACACTGAAAATAAAGCATGTTATCTTAAAACTTTTAATAAAGCATTATTCCAGTTTCATAACCTAACACTATGATATACAATAGTTTGTATTGTAATAGTAGGTTTTACCTAGTAATAAACCGTTGATCTCATTTTTACTCTGCAAGGTTACGGCCACTGTATTTGGTCGTATTCTTGATTTAATTGATCACTATTCCTGAACCTCTGTCGATTTACTTACCACAGTAAATGATTATTCACCCATCATGAAGTAGCCATATTAACTAATATATCTGTAATGCAAGAGTGAAATAAAACTATAAAAAATTGTAACTTAAATCAACGTCTTGCTACAAAGGTTTTAGAGCTAATTATCCAAATTTCATGCATACAACTGTTGATCATGATTCATTGAAATACTACACATCCCGCCACTAAGAACAACTCTATTGTTACCTTAAAATTTGGCCATAACCCGGTTTTCTAAATTTCAAACAACTAGAAAGGTTGACTCAAGATGAAAATTACTTTGGTTAAACTTAAATGCACTAATAACTCACAAACCTATCGTTTATGTTTAAACAACTGACAAACTTCAAAGTGATTATTTTCCAAGTTTTTTGATGAAGTGCTCAAGCTTTTATGACACGAAATCATGTACACGAGGTGAGTTCGTGAGCCTCGGGAAGCGGATTATAATCCAGATAAGCCAATCGGCTTTACCGAGTGAGGTTACACCGACTTCAAATGGCTAGACCACCACATAACACTTGTATATTCGACTGGCGATAGTTTCAGGGAATCAAGTACTCTATTTTGAAACATAGAGTTTTAGTACCAGATACGAAATTAGACTGTAAAGATCCAAACAATTTAAACAAATTTTATATAGCGATAAATAATGACCAACGGTAAGGTTTTCCATAATGAAAACTATGAATTTATTTATTATAATATGTTTTGCATGAAAGAATATAAACCATATTGATATATATACCGTGCATCACACTATCCCCTGGATCAAAGTGGTGATTACAAACATGGGATGAGATCTAAGGCAAGGGCTGTAATCGAAATTATTTTTTCTTACTTAGTATTCTGCACAATTTAAAAAGCTGTTCTATTGCCTTAAGAAGAAGCACGATCGGAAGCTTTCAATTTTAGTATTTGTACCTTATCATAGTGATAAAGGCGTGTATGTATGGCTCATTCTACTTTACTAGTCAAGGGAAAATTTTTCGTCATTATTTCGAAATGATTTATTCACTATGTGTTTAGAGGGAACCCGTTTAACTGTAGTTTCGCCTATATTTAGGAAATATACCCATTTCAGTCTCTCTGATAAATTTGCTTTAAGATTGTGTGGTTGTTAAATTTTATAATGGAACACTACGAAACTGGACAGTAAACTTGATTTTAGGTTCATATACTGTATGAAAAGTCAACTATTTTAGTTTTATGGGTGATGGGGAAACTTTTTTCAAAATCTAGCTGTAACACACTGTTTAATGGGCACACTTGTATGTCCTTTTTTGCTTGTGCCATATATAATACCTTATTTAATCAGGAGTCGTTTAAAGTATATTCTATTGACAGGATGGAGTCTTCACTTCCTGATGTTTCGAGGTTTCTGATTGTGTAGTTATGATTCTGTAATACGGTATTTATATTGGCTTTATAATTATTATTAAAAACAAAATTCCTTGTGTTCACACTTTGTTGGAGGATTTCTTCCGTAACGCTTAAAAATTTAGAAATGTCATAAAAAAATCGGGTAAGAAATGAACTATTTATTACTGGGTCAACCTTGATATGAAAAGTCTCTATAGTTCATACACTAGTACCAGTGGTACTTATTTAATTCATGTTTATTCAAGTTTCCTAGATTTTTAACAACTTATTCGTAAGTCTACTTAAATTTATTGTCTGAAATTAAAGACCTTAAAGTTTACCTATACTTCTGTAAACTATTTATCTAAATAATTTTTAACATATGCTTTCTCATTATTTACAGCATTTATTGGTAGAGTGCATAATTTATGCATGATTCGATCAAAAGATTCACAGAAAATCTTTGTTCTTCTTGCTGTTAGTAATGATACCAATAAAACTGCTGAGGTTGTATACCAGTACGAAATACCAGCTGGAATTGGAAGCAGTAAGTTAAAAAGAGTAATCTATGAGTAGGCTATTTTTACAATCAATGCAACTTTCACATCATGAAATAGATATTTATTTATAGAGAATTTTTATAAGAAACAAAAATGAACGGTATTCGCATTTTGTCTTAGTGAAATGTGGGGATTAAAATCTATTTCCTATACTTAGTGGTTATCAATTTATTCAGTATACTTGGTTGTTTAATGAACACTAATCTGATTCTTAAATTAACGTTAAAACAAACTCGAAATTGAAGTCACTTAAAAAATGTTGATTGTTATTTCCACTTTGTTCAGAAATGGTAAAGTTGAACCATAATAATTAACCAACCTAATATATTCAATCCACGTAATAATGAATGTGTTGAATACGAGTATGTGTAGTTAATCTTGAAAATATCTCATTTTTATACAGTTTGATGTTACCACCTTTATTAACGTTTTAAAGTGCTTCTTATATGCTTTTATTGATTACTCGCAACTTGTGCTCTTCTAATGATTTTCTAGAAAGTGTTTCTCCCATAATGAATTTTTTATTAAAAAAAGTTATTTACAATCAATAAATCAAGACTCATATTCCAAAGTGTATCTTACAATCTAATCCTAACTAAAAGTTCTATAGCGTTCTGATCATTATTATGACTACTTTTACAATCATTCATCTTACTCTATTTAAGTTTGGTGATAGAGATTTTTATTTTTTGAAAAAAATCAACTTTAAGATTTTGCAGAACGTAAATTCAATTTATTATATTGATTTTAATTGAATTTTATGATATAAATTATTTAATTAATTATCAACCTTATAAGAAAAGATTTGAATTCCCTTCACATCATATATTTGTCGATAACTAAATTACATGGTTCTCATGAATGTATTTGATAACATGGAAAGAAAAGTCAATTTTTAATTGATTTACTAATTATGAGTTTTGTTAAAGATTACTTCCTTTCCGACTCAATGTGATAATCATTCAGTGTAGTATTTGTTTTCTTTTCGCGTATGATATTTTATCCCGTATAATATACGATATTCTTGTATTCCATTGACTATGAATTATACTCAGTATGTGATTTGTTATAACTCTGAGTATTCTTCATATATGTGATTTCATCCTAATTATTAATCAAAATAGATGTACAATCAATATCTAAATGAGTGTATTTTCTACTAGATCATTATCGTCATCGTCGTCGTTGTCATAGTGTTTTGAGGTTAATTAATCTTCTTTTATATTAGTCTTGTGTTCTTACTTTCGCGTCGTTGGAATCGCAGAGGTCCCTTGTTCAGAGAATAAGTGATAAGTGTTTTCCGACATAACAATCAGCGACGACCAGATATAACAAGTAGCATTCAACGGACAAGTCACAACAGTATTACTAAGGATCAAATATAGTTTTTGAAAAAACTTATTGATATACCTATTCGTTTCTTCTTTGTTGAATAATACCAAATCTATCATAATATATTTTTCAATAACTTTCTGTTTGATTTTTAGATAATGAATTAGACTATGTTGATAACTATCGAAAACTAAATGAAGATAAAATTAAGCTTATTAAATGGAATTTTCACAAACCGAAAGTTGGTGTCTGCTATTGGCCATCAAATGATGTTTATGAATCAACATCACCATTGTTAATTGCAGCTGATTCTCAGTGTCATACATTGGAAATATTTTGCGTCGATGAATCGCAAAAGGTGGTTGATAATGAGTTATAAGTTATATTAATAATATGAAAGTTATCGGTCGAAATTATTGAACACTTGCAAATATTTAGTCTGATTCAGCATATTTACTTAAGTATATTTCTAAGACACATAACGAATAGCAACGATTTTATATCCTCATGTTCATTGAAATCACCATTTTAACTCAGGTTTACTATCTAATCAGGTCAAAAATGTAAACACTACCGCTTTTATTTTTAAGTACTACCATTACAGTATGCAGATTCATGAAATGTTTAAAAATTTAGAATGGAAAAATCATATTCACTTGGTGTTGTTTACTTGTATCTTCCCATGATTATTTAGGACTTCACTTGATCAGTCTCTTATAGGCATATGTGCATCCTGTGCGGACTGCCTCGATATTGTCTTATGTCACAAGCTTTTTAAGCAAAGATGGATAGTGGCTAGCAGGGGAATCTAAGACGCGTGTTTCTTCCTGTTTGGGACTCGTCAGCTGGATGTATATAACGTGGCAATTAACTTTGTTGGCCGAATCATAAATGTGTTAAACGGGATTATAAATTGAAACCAATCAGTTATTTATAGACTCTTCTGAATGATATACAGAAGAGAATTTATGACATTAAAAAAAATATGGTTTACAATAAATATTACACAATATTTTTTTAAAAATTGTTCTCAAAAAAATACAATTGAATTGAAAATAAAATATTAAATTACCAAATTTTAGAATCAGAAATAGCATAATTTACTGTTACAGATATTTCCTCTATTGAATAATTAGTTTGTACGTTTTGATTTGTCTTTTTTACTAGAAACAAAATCTATTACATATTACCGCAGAGTACACTTACGACATTTTACAAGAAACAGAAAACATCAAATTTACAAGAATATCTGATACTAATTCGTTACTAGCTTATTCTATGGATGGATCAGTTCAAATTATTTGCATAAATGAAACTGTAAGATGATTATTTCATATTGTCTTCACTTTTATTCACAACTACCGAAAAATAAAAGATTTAGTAAGCAATGTTTGATAGTAACTGGGAGTGGAATCGAATTCAATCTTATTTGCGTTTCATCAGCTGGATATACTTACTTCCCAGTTATGATATTCATATCAGGATTCGGTCTCAGTACTTATCGGTTCAATTCCTCAACGTGTTTTTGACTTGGTTACTAAGTTTTTATGGTCACTAGCTTGTTTTGGCATATGTGCATCATGGGCGGATTGCCTCAGTAATGCCATCAACTGAGTCAGTCCCACAATATCGTGGCTTAACCGAGGTTAGACATTAACACTGTTAGATGTTGGCTCAGTCGTTTAGAGGTTAAGCGTTCCCTCGTTAGACTGAAGGTTTTGGTTCTCATCCCCACGTACAGCATGGCGAATGCACACTACTGAGGAGTTTCATACTACAACGAAACACCCGATCTGTGCTTCCAAGTTTTCAGTGATAGGTTAACATCGATCGGTTTATGATTTCAATGAAGCCCAGTAATCTCCACAACCCTATGCTGATAAAAATAATTATATTATTACATTTCGATAAGCGACACCCAATCAATTTCATCATAGATCTATAAATATGTTGTATGTTTTTTCACTTTGCACATATTGTGTAGTAAATAATTAGTACTGCTTTGAAGATATTATGGAAGCAAGGTGGATATCAGTTACAAGTTCTCCAGAAACATTATTCAGTAACCAACAGGATAAATAACTGTCATTTGCTACACAGGTCAAACCACCAACTTCCTTAAATAACTTTTTTCAACACCTACAGTGTGTCTACTCATTTTTAAAGTTTCATAGTACTGAGCTGGTTAGTTTTACCTCATCGTTTTACCAAACTTCTTATGAAAGTACACTTTGTTCTGTTCATATGGTTTCTTATTCATGTTTATAAGGTTTCACTTCAGTATTCCGTAAATATTCATGAATCTGATTCACGTGGTATAGTCGCTGCAGAATTCTGTAAAGATTTGAATAGTTTAATCACATGTGGTGGAGATGGTTTATTAGCCAGAGTTAAAATAAGGTAAGTTTTGACAATCAAGACTTTATATTTATTTTGTTAACCTAAATGATCTTTCATATGATGAATTTACTTTTACACCGCATATGACGAATCTATTTTCGTATAGTATATGATTTTTTATACAATGTAAGTATTAAGTAAGAAATCAATTAAAACAAATGAATTTTATACTAATAAGTTGGGTATTCCATGATTCAGCTCATTTCATTGATTTAATGATTTGAAAGACTAATGAAATATGATATATAATCCAAATTAGTTTCGTTAAATATTTTATAAACTCTTAGATATAAACTAATATCTTCAAAAAACTACTGTCTGTTAATGTTACTAATATGTATGCCTATTATCAAAGCCGAAGCCTTCAGAACAGTCATTATCAACTTAAAAGGTATTGACATCCCCATTCAATGGTAATAAAATTAGGGAGCTCAGTTTCTGTTCCTACTCGCTTCAGTAGAAATTCATCTGTTTCCTTCACGATAATATTATTGCTGTTCAAGTCTTCATCCAAAAATAAGGATTATCTATAAGAATTTTTGATATCAGATCCATCTTAGATCTCTTAGTTGATTTTGATGGTCAATTTTTTTTCCGACTGGTATTGATAATTAATTAGTTTCATATCAGTATGAAGTTTTTTGTCGTATAACTGACGGATTTTGAAAGTGTTAGTTTCCATCATAGACCACATAATTTTTGGCATAAAAGATATACCTCTCGACCGAAACCTATCTGGATACTGAACTTATCCTTCTGCAAGCATTTATTACTTTTTCTTTCCTCGGTTTTCATGGATATGTTAACGATCTTCCAAGAGCGTTTGATACAAAGAACTATGAACTAGTTGAATTTTTAGAAGTGTTTTATGAAAAGAAGATGTGTCTTCCTTTTATTATACTATCTGAGGTCACCTTAATGGATGAAATAAATTCATGAAAACACTTTTCGGTTTGTTATATAGAAAATAAATATATGATTAATTAATCATAGCCTATTACTATAATAAAATAGTTAATAAACAACCTAAAGTAAATGGTTAGTGAATGTTCACTATATTTTTATCCATAATTAAATAAAACGTTTCGGGGATACAGAATTTAACAAGACTTATTTTGTGATTCGAATAAAACCACATTTGGATATTTCATTGTATAGTTTTTTTTATGTAAAGACTCAATTTGGCATTTTCACCATCATTAATTTTTGTTTATCTTAATTTTCTTGAATATTCTGTATTTCAGTGAAGGTACAATTACGGAATCGAAAGTCGGTTCATTTCCAAGTTTAAGACCATTACATGAACAACTAACTAAATTAAAAGAAATGGAAAGTTGTGAGATAACACAAAATCAATCACATTCAAATGTTAATCTTTTACAAAAATCTGATGTTTTACCAACATTACCCCATCAATCTGGTACAAGCTTTTTATTATCTGATCAACAAATATCGGTAGATGTTGATGAAGATACAGATTTAGAAGAGTTTTCCCATTATAAAAGCGATACTGACTCAAATGGTAATACATGGATAGAATCTTGCCAGCTTACTGCTGAAGCTTCAGAAGACTTGATTTTTGGAGAAACGAAGACAAGCATTCTTAATGAATTGAATGAAATCAGAAGTACAGTAAGATTTGTCATATATATATATATATATATATATATATATATATATATATATATATATAACTTATCAGCCTTAAGATTATTTGGACTAACGAAATAAGGATTTCTGATTATCCTCGTAGTGCTTTTTCTTTAAAAATTAATTTTACTTAAATATTCATTTCAATAGGGAGAAATTTAGTGTTTGCTTTATCTAATAATATAGAATACTGATGACCACTCGCAAAACCTATTTGAACTGAAATTTGCAAAAGTTCTGATAATCATTGCTTAGTTACTGTAACTCGTTATTGCAACGTAAATCTATAAATTTTAGTATGTATTAATATGATTACAAGTTTCCTGACTATTGATACTTCTTTATGAAACACAAAATAGGTCAATGCTATGGTCAGTGAAAACGAAAGTCTTCCTGAATTTCAACGTATTGGCAGGTTGGAATTTGAGCTAGATATTGATGAACAAAATGTCATTTTAGAGAAAACGAAGGAGGAAGTCAACCAGGTTAGTAGAAAAAGTATGCACGAAATTGTAAAAATTTATACTCTTATTTATTTTTCTTATATATTAGTTTAATCATAGCAGTATAATTGGTGTTTCCGAGGTTCCAGGTTAAGGGTGAGATAGAAGGACTAGGTGAAACTAACAGAAAAATTACATTGTGCTTTTTCAGTAATCATATTAGAAATTGTAACATTATCAATGATCCAAACCTATATAACACTGTTTTTTGAATGTAAACTAAACATTAAAACACCTGGATTGGTTCGGGTTGGAGAAAATCAATCATTGTGTATGACGTTAGTACAGAATTGTCCGCAAATTGTTTCAAATATAAATATCTTTCTCACCTCTCGATTTCAATCAAATATCCATTTATAATTTATGTTTTTATCTTCACATTAAATGTACTTATCTTTTTTTTATAAAAGCTCCGAAAAGAAATAAAATTAAGAGATTTAGCAAAACAATTTACTTGGCAAGCTATTAAATCTCAATGTTGGGATGAAATGTTTGTCAAAGGAAGATGCTTAAAAGCGTTCAATTTACCAATTAAAGTTTCAAATTATCCACTAAAGAATATTACAGACAGTGAAAAACAATTAATTAATACTGTTATTGCTAGAATGAAAATTATTCATGCAACAGCAAAAGAAAGAGAATTATTGTCTTCACATTTATTTCAATCAAATGCATTAAAAAAGGTTAGTTTCATTCAATAGTTTTTTTTGTAGTTATTAGGTTATATAAGGTAATTTTAATTGGTATTCTGTAAAAAAACATTTTGTATAATTTAATAATACTTTATGGCACAAGTAATAATTTGGAAGGAGACTTCCCATTTTTAGAATTTATTATAATCCACTTCATTTCTGTTTACTCATGAGAACTGGAGAAGCAAATGAAACGTACGAAATTGATTGTTCTACTTATTATGATCCATCACTCATCTCTCAATCCACTTGAAATTATTATTGTTATAACTTCAAGGCAACCTTTTAAGTTTATCCACATTTTCCATGTTTTAAATATTTGACTTATGCATCATTTTATAGATTTCAGTAATATACATTTGTTCGTTACACTATTAATATGTCACTTTAACATAAATAAGTCTTCTTTCGTTTAACAACAGTTTTATTTAGTTTCAATATGTTTATTTAGTCTATTTAGTTTAGATGCTTTATGTGTTATAACCGCATTAGGACATAAAGCGAATGAAGGTGTTCGCATATCTCATATTTAGTTTATCTATAGTAGATCATTTTCAATCAATTTATCTTCTAACCTGTATTATCATATGATAAATTACTGAAACTACCATATTATGTCCTGTTAAAACTAACTAAAACTATCATTCAATGTAGCCGAAAATATATGTCTTCCCGATGTGGATTCTTCTACTACTCACTTTCTGCAGTGGTCATTTAATGGAAGTTCATGAGTTTTTAGTAAACGAAAACCAATCATGAAAGCAGAAATAGCATCGATCCTAGCAAATGCATGAATTATTCTCAGTAGCTAGATTACGACATCAGAATGGGCAATCAATGGTGTAGATAACAAACAAGAAGTAGTGGAAATTTAAAATGATTAGTAAAAGGTTTGTTCGGTTTTTAATAGGCTACTCGAAAAATACTTGTTTTTAGTATTCGTTGACAGATGCTAATTTGAGTTATTGTTCAGAAGCCTCTTAAGGTTTGACTTTCTAGACCCCATTTCACATGTCATATGATAGCAGGTAATATTACCAGATCATGCACGACAAAATAATAAAGTTGTTAGCAAAGAGGATAAGTATGTAATTCAGTAACCAGTTTCCAGTGTATACATAAATTCTACGACATTAGTAAGTTAACTCAATACAACCAGTCACTGATTAATTTCGTAACGGGTTCTACTCCCTTAGTCTATTGCAAATCTGATTAGTATTTAGTATAAATAACACTGTAAAAATTAGTGTACCAAATATGGCTTCTGGTCTATTTTCCATGTCAAATAAATCTGTATTTGCCAGTCTATTTCTCTCATTTGCGAGTAATCATACTTATCCTTTCGTAGTTTCTATACAGAAGACTGAATAGTGATAAACCAAAGGAAACCCGTTTAATTATGCTGTTTTCGGGAAGTTCGTGTTCTAACCATAATCCATTATTAAACAAAATTTAACTGTTTACAAAAACGCATTTTCGTTTAATAAACATTATATGATCACACGTAGAGTGAAGTAAAGACCTCTCAGTTAATAGATACGTATCTAGCTCCTGATCATAAGTTTTAATGTTAACCGATAAACAGAATAACACCGGAAATCAATCGAAAAATAAATTTAATGATTTTGTTTGTTTGCCTACATAAACTGAAGCCCAGTCAAGAACAAAAGGAGGAAGTAGATGAGGAAGAAGAACCAGAGCAATCAATAAATCGAATTCTTCTTGGAAGTACCGGTATGTGTGAATTCTAAGTAGATCGGTTTTCACCGGGATACCTATCTACATTCTGGGTTTATATTTTTACAAAAATGTTATATTTGAGACAAATAAAGAATGAATAAATATTTTCGATGCTAATATTTACTCGTTTAATGTGTTAAGAAATCAAACAACATGAAAATCTAAATCACCTTACATTAATGTCAGAATTTGGTGGTCGTTTTTGAAATTTACTTGAGCAGTTCACATATATTTTATCCATGAAACAAGAACTATTGTTTAAGTGAAAGTGTTCAAATGTAGTTTCATTATCTCACTTTTTTTGTTTAACTTACATCATTTAAGATACTATTTGCGGAAAATCGGAATGTTTACAATATACAGAAAAAGGGTAATGCTGTTTGTGTATAAAGACAAATTTCATCATCAATTTCAGATATGTTGGGAATAAAGCAGTTTTTATTGATGATGTAGATTGATCATTGGGCTTTGATTTGAAGTTGAAATTCAACTAAATGACGATACCCTCGTTGTTTCAACATTTAAGATTTAAACCTAATGGTTCTGATTTCTATTCCTTTCAGGGTTTTAGATAAACAGTGCTGAGGAATTTCATACTGAAATGAAGCAGATGTTCAGTGCTCCTATTTTATAGTCATGTCTCAGCTAAATATGACTAAGATAACTCATCCGCGTTATAAATAGCACATTTCTCAGACATAGAAAAAATGAATTTATTTCTTATAGTATCGCTCTTCACCTGGATGACATAATACTGGAATTATCAAACCGATAGTATGTAAAGAATGTTCGATCTAAGTTATTGTATTATTATTATTTCTAATATTTGGTAGATTATGAAATGAAACGTTACATTGATTATGAAGTAAAATAATTAAAAACTAAAGCTGAGTGGATTAATTTGTAAAGGACTAGATCTATTGGCTCGAATATTCATTTTTATGTTACAAAATCTTTATTGTATGAACCGCAGAAAAATACGAAAATATAATTTAATCACTGAAAAATTCCCATCAAAACCAAATTATATGAAAGAAGAATATTCTTTTCAATAATTTCTCATCAGGTTCTACAATTATAAATCCATATTAATAATCCATAAAATTGGCCAGATTTAAGGGAGAGTATATCATTTAAAAATGTAATAGGTGAATCAAGAATTGTTGTTTGTCATATAAAATCAAATCAAATCGTTAATGTTGGGGCTGACTCATATGAAGAGTTGACTTGAATCAGTTTATAATGATATTTTTATCATTGTTATTATTACACTTGCTAACCTTTTTGAGAAATTTATTCAGCATCCATTCCTATCTACTATATCTGACCTAATTCATATTATGCTACATATGACATAATTTCTGATGATTATTCGATTATTCTCTCTCTCACCCCATATTGACCATATTTATTCTGATCATTTATCTCATAATTTTATTTTGCTTATAAACTGATTCAAGTTAACAACTTCATATTAATCAACCCCAACATTAACGATTTGATTTGATTTTATATGACAAACAACAATTCTTGATTCACCTATTACAATTTTAAATGATGTACTCTGCCTTAAATCTGGCCGATTTGATGGATTATTAATTTGGATTTAAAACTGTAGAACCTGATGAGAAATTACTGAAAAGAATATTGTTTTTTCAAATAATTCTGTTTTAAATATAGTTTATTTCAATGATTAGTATTGTACACCTCTTAATACTTAAGGAAAATAAACGTAAATTTTAGTTCGCTCTTCTAGTTATTTGACTATCTTGTTTTACTCATTTAACCCTAATTTGAAAAACGTATTAATGCCGAATCTAGTGTATTTAACCTGTCCGACTGATCAATAAACAATGTAGCTGCTGTTTTCTAAATCCTTGAATAGTATAAATCACTCCTGATAGCAAAATTAGTATTAATTGTTAAAAATGTTAAAAAATTTATGCTTGTAATATAACACAGAACTAACTTGAATAATAAGAGAGATCCGAATATGTTTCCCTTAGAATGATTTTCACTTAAACTCAAAGCGAAAAATTAGAAAATAATTAATATTATTGACTGGCATGATAGTTTTATTTGCGAACTGGATTTTATTCTTAATTTAACTATCATTGTTTGTATTTCAGCCAGTGAACATGATGGATCGATTGATCATGGTTATGGTCAAATGGATCTTTATACACGAACGCAAAAGATTTATCAAATTGTTTTGATAAAAGTAAGTATAAACACCAATGAATTAGTATCATATGGGGTTGCACACTGCTACGGAGTCCCACAATAGGACGAAACGGCCGTCCAGTGCTTCCAGGTTTTCCATAGTGGTCTAACTTCAATTGACTTATGATCTCAACCAATAAATTAAATTCACGTCTACAGATTTTTAGTTTCATTTAAATATCAAAAATAAACTTGAAACTTTATTAATTCTGTAAAGAAATAGTTTTTTATTTGTATTTCATTGTTTGTACAAGTTGAAAGTGGTCAAATCTGTTTATGAGAATTATAGAACGCAATATAATCTTGACAACGTTTGATATCTTAACCCAAAAGTCATTTTTCATAGTTTAAGGTGAGCTTTATGAGAGCCAGTTGTTGTACTGACTCTCTTGGTCTGAATCACCCAGATAGATTTTAGAAATTCTATTCTTAACAATCTACTGATCGGTAGTCATTCTGTCAGAAAAGTATGCTTGAAGCTAAAGATATGTTCATGGTTTTCAGCGAACTTATTTTCCAGTTTAAAAAAATGTTTGGATTAAAAATATTTATCATAACTTTATTTCAATAAATATCAAATTTTTAGTTGCATTATGGGTTTGACATGTGACTGCAGAATACAACTGAAATAAGGAGTCATTACAAAGTCTCAAATATGGATAAACTTCTAATATTATGACCGATTTTATTGTCCATCTATCTAATAAAATATATCGTTTTATCCTTCGAGCTCCTTAGATATTTTGTAAAATAGCACTTAGTATCCATATCCCTAGAAATTAGGCTACTTATATACCAATATTAAATCATCAGAATAAGTCGATCGATAACATATACTTTGTGGTTTCGAGGGTGATTACGGTGTGATAGATTCACTTTGGGATAATCATCAAAATCCTATGTACTATGACTTACATAGTGTTAAGACAAAAGTTTGAAATTTTCCTAAGTATTGTTTCAGCATGAACATGAAAATAAATTAAAGGATAATCTAGGATTTTCTTCAACAACTTAAATATTTTAAATAATTGGTTGACTAAACAACTCAATTCATTAAAATAATGATTTGTGTCGCTCATACATATCGAAATTGACAGTCAAACGGTAGATAGGCATTTGTGTTTTTAATAGCTACATCTAATTAATTTCTGATTTTGTAAAAATAATCTATTTAACTATATGAATCTTTTTAATTATAAACATTTAAAATTAACGACTAACTTTTAGGATGCAATTTATCGCATGAAAGAATCTTTCAATAAACAGTTCGATGAATTCTATGAAAAGAAGGCGAGTCACCTTTCTGACATTCAAACTAAATTATCAAGAATACGTAAAATTCATACGGATCTTCAACAACCACATTTGCTAAAACATCTCATTAGTCCAAAATTTGATCCTGACGAAGAGCCAGAACAGCTATTTATTGTTACAGATGGTGAGATAACAGTGGAAAAGTATTTTTCACCTGAACAGTTAGCTGAAATCCAATCGAAACGATTGGCTGAGGAAGAAAGACAACGTAAGGAAAAGTTGGATAATTGGCGTGAAAAAGGTTTGGAAGAAATGATGGGTGGTGTGTTAGAGATTACGAAAGAAGATGAATTGAAAAAGGATATCCCAAAACCAGCTTTTTTATTAACTGGTAAACCATCAGTTCATTGGACGGATGATGATAAACAAATATATGCAGAATATGAACGTAAAGTAAAAGAATTAAATGAAGAAAGGGAAAAATATAAAAAGGTTGGATTGTCTTTTACATTAATGTGCAAAATGAAACACAACTCAATAAAACTATAATGTATCAGTTTCATGCAAACAAAATTTATAGATGATGGATGGTTGAAAATAGTCGGTGGGATACTCCATACCTAGGTTTCATGTCAGTTGACATTAGTCAGTAATACATACCTATGATTGCCGGAGGATTCTAACCAGTTATGTAGCTTCACAGTTTGGGATGCTACCGCTGAGCTATTCGGGCAGTGACCGATTCTCTTTAGGACTGAAGTATTAACATTTCATCGATAGCTGAATAGCGACTAGTTTCATGTATTTTTAATTTTTTTAGTGCTATTTGACTTTTGTTGATCAAAATGCAATGTGGTCATTAGCTTACGTAACTTACATCTTGTGCACTATGTTTCAATGATAGTTGACCACATGGTTACAGGATTGGCAGAGAACTAGACGATTATGATTTTGGCCCCTACATGGTTGCAGATTAGTCACAATTGTCTTCTTATCTCAGAGTTCGTGTTATTTACTCTCCTTTCTTTCTTCTTCCCTCCCTCCAAGTTAAAGCTTTAATTCCAGGGATAACAAGTCATGGTGCTTTTGTGCTCTATTTAGTTGAAATGAATAAAACTTACCAATCACTATCATTGTGTATACTAGTAACAAACTTTTTTCTTATTAAATATGCTTAGATAATTATTCATCTTTCTGTGAACTTTTCAAAATGATGATAATAAATATCAACAGGGTTGTGGTATGAACTACTTGTATCCACATAAGTAGTATATAACGATCGTCAAACATAGAATGTATTTCAGTGAAAGATCGAGAGTGAAAGGAGGGGAACGAAGAGGAATTGGTATGGAAATGCATGAACAATGAAATCTGGGACAATAGACTGATATTTGCAAAAAAACAGTCAAGTTCGAGACTTGGACTGATATTTTGGAAATTAACTATTTACTATATGGTTCTCAGATTTTAGTGAGATGCTCTGTAATTTCGTGTCGGGTACATTCAATAGTCCCCACTCGTGTTCTTGTTCACTTCAGGCTAATACTACGATTTCATTATTAATTCCATTTACATTTACCTTTATCAAAATGTTTAGTATCGAATTTTTTAAGACATGGTTTCTTGTTTGTAAAAAAGGAGTAAGAGAAAATAATATAATAACTGAATTCATGAGTCGATTGAAGCCAAACCACCATGGAAAAAAATGATAGATGGCGGCCCAGTTTCGTGGATTGGTTGAAGTTAGACATAAACACCGTTGGATGACGGTCCAGTGATCTAAAGGTTACGCGTTCATGCGCGAGGCTGATAGGTCCTGGGTTTGAATCTCGCGGGGCGGGATCGTGGATGAGCACTGCAGAGAAGTCTCATACTAGGATGAAACGACTGCCCAGTGCTTCCAGGTTTTTCATGGTGGTCTAGCTTCAATTTACTGATGTATTTAATTGTGAAATTACTACAATCTACACAAAACCCCTCTCTGAAAATAATATAAGCCACTATTTCTTTGCTAACTTTACCGAATCCCTCGGCATACACAAATAGTGTGATTAAAGAAGGAGTAGAAATAATTTTATCTTGATACTGAATAAAATAATTATTCATAGTAAGGTAATTATAAATCACATTATAGTCATACAGACAAATCAGTATCAATTATTCATTATGATTATAAATTCATTTATTCAATATTTCGTTTTACAATTTGTACATGTGCATGTCTAATCGTTATTTCCCTTTCAGTGTATTCCTAATAATTATCTATTGAATTTTTACACAAAAATCGGATACTGTCCACAAATGTTTGGCTATAAATATCTATCAACCAATACTGTCTTTTATTAACAATATGAAATTTCTCAAAAGATTACTGTCATCTATATAATTAGCTTCACTAGATATTATTGACTAGCCTAACTTTTCTTCTACAAAACATTGTAGTGGCTTGTTTTCGATATAATCCCTTGTTTCGTTTATCTATCATCTTGATAACCGTTATTATATAAAAACCGACAGTGTAAGAATTCGGAAGACAATAAGATGCAGGGGCTACAGTTTATTTATGGACAACACAGATAAGCAAATTACAGGCATATCGAGGAGATTTGAGCAGAGAGGTAAATGTGTACGAGCAAGCGAATACAGAGGTGGATTTACAGTCAAATTGAGTCAAGGCAAAGCAAGGCAATTATTAAGATTCTAGCATATATATATGGGATGGAGAACGATTCATCAAGTGATATTTAAAGTGATTAACATTTAAGGTAGAGTGAGGAATATGTGTGTATGCTGTCACATGTGATCAAGCATATGTGTTTATACAGACATGATAGTGATCACGATAATACAAAGAAATAGACGAATTGTTACTGTTCGAATAATATTGTCCGTCAAATAAGTCAATAAAAGGGCTCGACAAAATTAGCTGCGATAGAAATTAATCGTAGGTGTGTTGCTATAACATCAGCTCAAAGTCACCCACAATGGAACATGATAAGCATATTCTTCTAGAAAATTTATGGCAGTTATGTTAACTAAATCTTGTGTAATAGAGACAGTTGATGGATAAACTTTTTCATATTCTACTAACATCATTCAATACAAGACGAGACTATTGTAATAAAAACTGTTTAACCTACTCCTGTCATGAGCATAATATCATCTTACAAGTAATTTAATACCTTTTAATATAGTTTTTAGAAGGTGATTTAAAGAAGATATACAATGAAATAGATGAAATTAAAGAAAAATTCGATGAGGAGTTAACTTCTCTATTTAATAAATGGCTACATGTTCAAGTGGCTATATTACAAGAAGAATTAAAAATGTGGAGGCTTAAATGGATGTTACTTACTGAAGAGGAATTTAATAATAGAGAATATGAATTAAAAGAATCAATTGATGAATTATATAAGAAGGAAGTACAAGTAAGCTTTTCAGTATTTATTTCTTTACGTGATATGAAATAAAATAAACTCTCAAATAAATATGAATAATTGTTTTCTTAAAAAGCCGAAGATCATTTGTCTGTGATGATTGGTCAATTTTATTTTATTCTATCAAAAACACATTATGGTACCATATTTAGTAGTCTGCTTAAATTTATAGACTACTTATCTTCTAGCTGCATATATATTACAAAGGATTTCCCTTTTTTTATCTGTTTTAATTGAGGAATTATGTACATTGACTTCGTGTTGTATTGATCCTTTTTTTTTTAAAAACTTTTGAACCTATCACAAGATTAATCAAGGTAAAATTTGAGCAAAACCATTTTCTTTTGTTTCATAGAGAAACAAGAAGAGATTTGATCAAAACTCATTCATCGAATATATTATATAATCAAAAGTGATGTCATAAGAGGAAGGCTGATCGTAGATATTTTGGGATGACGAAGAATAACAAATAGTCTCTTTTAAAAACCTAATTATACTATGCATATATATATATATATATATATATATTCAGCAGTCAAATCAATGTAAGAAAATTTGTACCAAAATTACACATTTAGTTCTGAGAAATTATTCTGTAATCAATTATATTGTATCGGATAAAGCGATTATTACCATTTTGTCAGTTCAAATTATTAGTTTTACTGAATATTCGAAAAATTGATTTTGATAATAAAAATTGACTCCTACTTCAAGTAGTTAGTCTCAAAAATGACGGTTTTCTTGATTTTAGCAAATATTAGCTTAATTCTGATTAAACCTTAAAAATTTTTAATTTATGACTGATTAACAACTGGTAACTATAATCGAAACGAATTTGAGAAGTAATTATGCGCTAACTACTTCATTTTAAAGCTTGTTACGATAATCCTTTAATCAGTTTGCATCGATTGGACAATGAATCATGATAGATAATATATTGCAATATATTTCTGGATAAAAATACCTGTAAGTTCATTTAATATCGAGCACGAGACCTTCAAGACTTCTGTAAAGCATATTTATTTGCTTTAACCAACTCGTGAAATACAGCTGCACATATTATCAGCTTCAATAATCGTCATTTAGTAGTCCTAAATGATGTAATTTCTAATTCACACTTCGAAAATTTTACTTACATGATCCATATTACTATTGAACTTGAAGCTCCGTCTGGTGATCAATGCAAAAGGAGATTAGACCAAATGAGAGACTCTAATCATCAAAACTTATACAAATTATCCAACCTCCCATCTTTCCCAGTCTGAAACTGAAATATTTGTTGTGATTGAAATGTATGAGAATTTCAAGAAGTTCCTTTTATAAGTAGTTTCCTCCATATTTATTCATTTATTTATCAACAATAAGTCTTAAAATTTCTAAACAGTTTTTTTCGTTTATTTGTTCATTAATAGATTACCAAAAATTTAGAAACAGCCAAATCAATACTGGACCAAGTTCAACAAGAAACTGAACTTTTGTCTGCTGATGATAAATTAATGGAAAAAAATCTTCGAAAAGAATTCAGTGATATACATGGTCCGTTATATGATTTTATTGTCAAAGCTTATAAAAAACGTCCTAAGTAAGCAAAAAAACTACATTAGAAACTATTTACAACACAAATATTAAAATTTCATTTATTTACAACACGTATTGATCTTAGTTAGACAGCCACTGAAAATCAGGAAGCTCTGAACAGCTGTTTCATCGTACTAAAAGACTCAGGTGTATGTACCCACATCACGATTAGAGGTCCAATGCAGAGCTCCAGATCCTTAGTTTCGAAGTTAACCTCTCAACACAAGACCTACAAATCGAGGGCTCGATCCCCGATGGGGATGGGGATGCAGACCCGTGAGTCTCATACTAGATGAAACAGCTGTCTAATGTTTCACAGTTCCCAATGGTTGTTTAACTAAGATCACTATGTGAGATGATGGAAAGAAAAGTCGAATTTGGATTGATTTACTCACTATGAGTTTTATTCAAGATTACTTCCGTTTTGATTACTCAATCTAGTACTTGTTTTCTTTTCTCGTATGATATTTCATCCCGTATAATAAAAGATATTCTTGTATTCCATTGATATGAGCTATGCTCAGTATGTGATTTGTTATATGATATGATGGGAAGAAAAACCAGTATTCGATTGGTTTACTCAATATGAGTTTTATTCATCATTACATCCTTTTTGATTCAATGTAATGATCACTCAATGTAGTATTTATTTTCTTTTCTCTTATGATCTTTGTATAATATACAATATTCTTGTATTTCATTGACTATGAACTATACTCAGCATATGATTTGTTATAACTGTATTTTTCATGTATGTGATTTCATTCTAATTATTGATCACAATGGGTGTACAATCAATATATAAACGAGTGTATTTTCTACTAAACTTTCTCGTTTCTGGTTGTTGCAGAAGACACTTCTCATCTCAAGCTTGGATTTCTACCTCTAGATAGCTGGGTCTGGGACGCGTTAATAGCTAGCTTACTGGTCCTTGGTCACCGAATCTCGTTCTCGTTTGCAGACTACATGAACCCGTGGCAGTTTTTAAACCATAACATTATAACTCTGAGTATTTTTTATATATGTGATTTCATCCTAATTATTAATCAAAATGGGTGTACAATCAATATATAAATGAGAGTATTTTCTACTAAATCATTATCGCCATCATCGTCGTCATAGTGTTTTGGGGTTAATTAATCTTCACTTATATTAGTCTTGTGTTTTTACTTTCGCATCGTTGGAATCGCAGAGGTCCCTTGTTCAGAGAATAAGTGATAAGTGTTTTCCGACATAACAATCAGCGACGATGAGGTATAACAATTGCGACGACCAAATATAACAATTGGTGACGGGGAAAAAAACAGAACCACAGTCAGCCTGTAATTGGACGAAATCCAGTTTAATTATTTCAAGCAATCGGCATCCAGATTTGTCATTGGTGTCCTTGAACGACACTGGTCACTAGTCATATAGTAATTTTCATTACTGGTGCTGATTCAGAAAATGACTCTCCCTTCCGATCGATTACAGCTGCTATTTGAGCGACAGTTGGAGTTCTTAGTAAAATTACGCACATAGCTGCGGAATCACTCATGCTTTGTAGATGCGAGGATTCAGTAATCTCCAGAAATTTCTAAATAAATATTGAAATGTCACATATTTTTACCAAGCTTAATCCTAACACGCAAAGACAGTGATCTCAGGTTAAATACAATCTGATAATTTTTTCATAACAGCCTGCAGAGAATTGATGGATGGTATGGTCAGTATTACCAACTGTAAAGATTAATTTTTAGTTGGTCATAAATTTTCTTCCTATTAACTATTGATCATTTAGTGGTGTATACATCACCTTTATACTGAACTGAAAGCATATTATAATTGGAATAAACCCGATTAAACTGTATACAATGATGGACAGATGACCTTTAAGCGGTAAAATATTTACTGCAACATAAAACTTTGAGCGCTAACATTTAGTTTGGATACGAAAAAGTAAGACAAAATAGCTACAAAATATTCCCTGAATGTTAGTAGTTTTCCAGTTGATAATGAAAGATATATAAATTATCTAAATTTTTATCTGAACAAGATTTCATAATTATCCGTTTTCTGTGAGTTATTAGATTAGTTATGAAATTTCTTTGAAACCGAATTCCTTGAAAAAGTTTGGACCAGATTGACAGGCAAAACGTTGGATGTACTTCAAATTCTTTCTCTGAGATTTTACAAATATATTCTTCCTCGAATTCTAATCTGTTTTATTATAAATCTATAATTCCATAATTTTTTTCAAATAAAACTTGTTGACATTTGTTGTGTTTAAAATAATTAAGATCTAAAGCGGACTACAGAAGGATGACATTTTTTCAAAAGTGAGAGTATATAATGCATATAGGATTATTTGCATCTAAAACAAATGTAAAACTAAGTTATTGTCAAAATCAGGTGACTGACATAAATTTGAACAGTACTGTTAATCTATAGCTAACTACGTGCTAATACATCTCTCACCTGTTCATTGTATGGATTATTAATCTTTACTACCAAGCTTTATAATTAGTTAAGTAACAGTCAGATGATCAACTTATTTTACTTAAATTATATTTTGTTAAATTTGAGCCTGAAATGTTACCCAACTTAATGATTTTCATATTCAGATATATGCATTTTCTACTCTTTTAAGTAGTGTAACATCAACCTATTCAACTATATCGAGTTTTATCAAGTCATAAACTTTAGTCTAAATTACTTTTTTATGAGTAGTATATTGGATAATAAAAATTTAATTGGTATATTGTATAACCGGTGACATTCATCAAGTTTAAACTGCGTTTTCAGTGAGTTGATATCTAACCGTAAGTTTAAGGATTCTAATTCTATGATAGCTTGAAAATTTTGCAACTTGATAAATGCTTAAAGAATATCACGTGCTAACTAAAATCAAGTAAGCATAAGTTTCTTCTTCAATATTCCCATATAAATAATTATCATTGAGTTTACATTTTCGATTCGATGTCAAACAACTTTGAGTTTATAAATATAGAAAATTTTATAAAAGGAAATTTCACTGTAAATTAATCTTAAAGGAGCTCTTTATGAATTAACAAAAGAAACTTTCTGGCCACTAATTGGGTTATTTAAACGTACCAGATGATTGGTCTTTATCTTCTATCAATGTAATTTACTGACTAATATAGTTTAATTTATACACAATGAAACCTTATTTTCGAAATGTAATGTATGCCTGTACCGATAAGTAGCATTCACAACATCAGTACTTTAATGAAGTTCCACCAGAATGCCCACCACTAGATCGGTGATTTCAAATAAGAGGAATTTCAGTACAACTTCAGTCAGTGCGTTTTTTTGGTGATAAGTACCGATCAGCCTCAAAGACGGGTACAGACTTTATCTTGTAGAAGTTAACTTGGGAAATATTTATCCTTAAACCGTCAAAGGAATGTTTTATTTTTCCTTGATACCTACAATAAATCAGACCCACTGTTGTGTAATATTTTGACTATCTTTTCTAAAGGCACTTCCTTTTAGCTCCTTTGGAGAAAAAGATTGATCAAATTGGAAAGGATAGACAATCTTCTAAACAACTAAACCCATATATTGAAAAAATATGGCAATCATCTCAGTCAAGCAAACAAACTGGCCTACTAGAAGAAAGTCTGGTGGAACTAGATAATGACCCTTCACGTGAACAGCAGTCTGGGTGTGATAACGCCTTATGGAGTAGGTTGTGCGCAGCAAGACGTCGGAAGATTAATAAAGAGTTGGAAATTAAATTTGCCACTCAAAAGCTAGATGATATTACAAATTTTATTCGTGTAAGCTTGAATTTCTGCTTAATCCAGTGCTCTAAGATGTTTTATTTACTAATAAATATGAATATCACTTCCATATGATTTATTTATAAATTAGCTGGTCAATCTGTTTGTTAATTTTAGCAAGCTTCCTTAACTTTCAATTTATCTTTTCGTTAGGGATTTTATTCAGGACACAAAAGATGTAAGTGCCTTTATGATTTGGTCAACGTATATGTATTCTGTATTTGCACGTTTGGAAACGTGTAAATACGGTTCTAAAAAATATCAATTATTCAATTGAACTAGAAACCGAACTTCGCAGATTCTTTTAGTCAGAGATATTGACAAGCGTTTCTTTGTATTATTTGCTTGAACGAAACTATAAGACGAAAATCCAACTCATCTTTTCCGTCTTTTTAGTTGGTATTGGTTTGTAATCCATGCAAAGACATCCTGACAACTATGATAAGACCCAAATCAGTTTTATTACCACAGAAATTCTTTTTCATTGTATAGTGTATCATTTTAAAGCGTGATACAACTTTGTCAGGGTTTGCGAATTTTTTATTAGTATATATGATAATCACTAGTTCGCAAATATAATATAGCATAACCTCAACATAGATTTCCTACTTGATGATCAACTATACCATGTTAATAGGATCACGTAGCTGAAATAACACTGTTCCTCTAGGTAAACACATATTTAAAGATAAATCTGGTAAGAGTAAACAAATGACCTAATGATGACACTGTGAAGATTAATTCGGAATAAATTCGACTGACATTCATTGATAATACTAACAATCATCTTCATGCAAATTCAAAGTGTTTTTGGCTCATCTTGATAACATTCTATAATTAAACTTCCTCAATGCAAGGTTTGATTTAATCAATGTACTATATAAGAAGGTTACTTGTGCGTTATGCTGAGTGAATTTAACTTTGATACAGAAAGCTGTTCAGTCGCATTTTCATCACTTTAATACTCATAATAAATGCCATTTTGAAAATTAGTTAATTTAAAAGAATATAACTTTGAGTAATCAACAAGTTTCAAGTACAACTTGACTGCTACTAAACATATTTAGTATTAATCGTCATTGTGATTCTCATTTTTGTTTAATGACTATGTTTATTTAAACTATATGATACTCATATGAGAATTCATCTATTTTGATTAGCTAAGATCAACCATTCATCAGTCGTGGTTTAAAAATGGAAATAATTGACTAATTGTTCTCGTTGCAGACTGACAATTGCCAAATGACTAATTAAAACTATATGATACTGAATAGTTGTTCATTCACAGTTTTCGATTCAATAAAATCTTGCTTATAACGACTGTAAAGTCTTCTAGCATTGTGTGAATCAATTAATAGTTTGCTCTCCACTCACTCACTTAAGTTACTGCACTTTTGCATTTGTCATTTGAATGTTTCTACCAAAAATGACTGATCAGGATTCGGTCAGTACAACCAACAACAAGATAGTTTAAACCTTCCTGATCATCATATAAATTTCATACACGTTGACCAAGTTAGTGACTATCTAAATTCAGCAGATCAAAGAATAACACTGAGCGTTTGAAAATAAGTCGTTCAGTTCAAGTCCCAGTGTAAAGATCAATTACATCTGGCTTACGATTCATGTATAGAATGAAATTCACAACCGATAAATTACCAGTAGACTCAATCTATCTATTCTAAAAATCTTGTAACATAATGGTTTTATCGAAGCAACCGGCATATAACTCACAGGTACCAAAAAAGATCGATTGAAATTCAGTAAAGAATTCTAATAAAGGGATTGTTAAAGCCCTTCTTATTAGTAATATAGTTAGAAGTAATATATACTTCACGTACAAAACATTTAACATTAAAGGCTGTCATTTAATTGTATGCTAAATTTTGTAACGAATATTTCTAAGTAAATAACTTGGTCTTTGCATACGTCAAAAGTATTATAATTAACTTAATTCAATCATCTGTCATCTGTAATTAACAGTAAGCTTTTTTTATCACAAATCCAAATTAGCGGTTAACAAGTACATTTCATGTACAATAAATAACTTTCACATAGGTTAAAGTTTATCTCAATAAACTAATACTTTCGTAACTTTCAATCTCTTATATATTAATCTTCTGTATTTGATTTATATTTTAGAAACGTGATCATGATTTACAATCATTACATAAGTTATTAGAAGAAAGAAAATGTCAATTAGATAATTTAATAAAAGATTATAATCGAAATCAAACAAATTTAGAATTACAATTGTTAATAAAACAAGGATTTGTTGAAGTTAATATTAACCAATCCACATTATTGCATGATTATGACGATGCATTATTGATACAAAGAGAGCAAGTTGAAGAATTGAATAAACAGATAATTGTATTAGGAGAATCCAAAGTATCACATATGATAAGAAATAAAGAATTTAAAAAACGATTTTATCACCTTGAATGGTAAGTAAAGATCTTTCAATTGTTGGATTTAAATAATTCAATGAAATGACAAAGTTTGTCAAAACAACTTGATTAAAGAAGTATACTTGGAATATTTTAATTATTTATGAACTTACTAAGATATTTATTATAGGAAACAAAGGTCAAAGTGGACAAATTAGAATATATGAAAAACAAAGATAATAGGGGAAAACAATATGAATCACACCAATCTGAATATTGAAACAAATCATTATTTCTAGAGTAGGTTCTGTGTAGTACAAAATGTTTTTGAACGAACGAAGTATTTATGGATTTAGGTCAAAAAAAATTTGTGGGTTTCTTCCTTTGATCTTTACAATCAATTCTTGAGGTATGATCATAAACATTAAAAAAGGAGTTATTAGTTGAAGTTTAGTCGAAATATACACTCGTTATATTTAAATGAACATATATTTTTCTCTCAAATATATATAAAGACAACATCTCCAGGGAAACGATAAACATTTAAACAGTAGTTTAAATTTATAATGTACACCCAACCTCTCAATTAATGAACAATTTTCTGCACCTTTCCCCTTTCTGTTCCCCAAAAATGATGCATTCGATCACTAAAGTTTTAAGATGAAGGCTATAGTCAATAATTTACTCAGTGATTGCCACTTTAATAACAATAAGCTTTAGCAATCCCAATATCACGAGTTTGGATTCAAGTTCGACCGTGGTTCTAACCAGAAATAATTCCTTTCACATGATTTTATATCTTTATCTTTTTTGGATGAAATAAAAGTGCACATCTAGACATAGTCAGTATATATTTCTATAACACTTAAATCAATCGCTAATTGTTTGATATTTATAGTCATTTCTCAAAATCTATCGTTGTGTAGAAAAAAACTACAAACTTTTTTTGTGTCAGCCCTGAGAAACGAAATATCTCTGACTGTGACCACATTTTAATCTAAACTAATGATAACGTGATGACTAGAGCTCATTGTCACTAAAAATGTAATTACTGTATGAATTATTGGCTTTTACATTCTTCCTCTTCAGATGATAATAAGCAACCATATCATTTCTTAAATTGTTAATCATATTGGGCGACAGTTTTGAGGAGTGCAGAAATTGTTATTTCTTTAATTAATCAATTATTCATTAAAATTAGTGTGGGTGAATAGCAAATGTAAATCACTATTGTTTCAACTACTGCTTTCGTATGACAAGACTTTAACAAACCAAAGTATTCATTTTCATACAACCTAAAAATGTTTAGGTCATTCCTATGATTAGTTTCAACCATGCCCCCAAATGCCCTGGTATGGCCGAGAGTGGGGAGAGTCCGCTCTCCCTCTCGAAATGCTCTCACATGGCCATGCGTATATGGCCTCTGCCATGGAAGTCCTACTCACTGCCTTCTCGTGGCGGAGGACTAAAAGCGAATGTCCGGCGCTTTAACCGGATCCAAAATCAATGGTGCACATAGGCTCCAGTATCCCGAAGGAACAAATGGCGTATGAACCAATCGTTGGTCACCGGCTACCGTGGGATTGCATCTCCTTACGAGGCTCCACTGCCATGTGGGTCAGATATTCAGATCGAAGGCTCGGGGTGTGGCCCTCTAAGAAAACCACCTGCTTCGGTTTGGGCACCCGGGCAGTATCACAGCCCTCACATATAGCAAATGAGATTTGTGTAGCGCATATGTATTCGGTGCCTCCTTGTACCAATATTTATGTGTTAAAATAAATAAATAAATAGTATATAGCAATGAAGGAAGATAAGTTTTTATCACTTGCTCTTATTAGTTTGAGAAATACCAATTGTTCAATGATCAAACAACCTTTGTCTTCTAAATACATCATCTAAACTTATCAAATTAACTAATTATTTTAAAAGGTTATATTGATTTTCTATTTGCTTAAACGAATTCCATAAAATATATCTTTCATCTGTATTTACAACTATTATGAGCTAAATTTGTAGAAAATGGAATTGCGAATCTGATTTGAAACGGTTATTGTTATGGATAAGTTTTAGCGTTAATACTAATTCGACTTATAATATAACTATAAGAAGGGGTTTTGTGGAGATTTTAGAAATTTCACTAGTTGAAATCATGAGTCAATTGAAGCTAGACCACCATGGAATACGGCCGTCCAGTGCTTCCAGGTTTTCCATGGTGGTCTAGCTTCAATTGACTCATGATTACAACTAATTATAATATAACTGTTTATTTCATATTGGAATTAAAATGTGACTAAATATAATAATAATAATTATTATTATATTATGTTAAAGAGAGCAAGAAATAAGATTGGCACGGAATAGTATGAATTCATTTTATTTCGTTAGGTTATCATCAACTGCTTACAACCTATAATATTTTAAAATCAACGTCATTACGGATATTGACATACTTATACATGCGAGGGCGATTAAAGATGAATATGTGTATCATAACGTAGCAGAAATTTTAATCGAGTTAAGAAGGCCATAGAAAATTTTGTTTCGTATAAATAAAGTTTGGGGGAGGAAGTTCCAGAATATTTAAGTAGTGATTAGGACTCTTGGAGTTAGCAAACATTAGATGATTGTGTAATGAAGCAACTGAGAACAGATTAATGCTGGTAAAGAAAGATATGAATTGAAATCAGTCAGTTAATTCCATAAGTTCTAATCACTATTTCAATGTTCTGAACTTTCCCTCCTAAACTTTATTTAGTTATCCGAAAGAAACAATTTTTATGACCTTATTAACGCTATACATTAAATTTAGAGTTTTCATGAACTAACATCAGCTATAATGCCAAGACTCTATTTAGCCAATTCGATGAGTGAATTTCACAGTAAAATCCAAGACCTGTTATCTTATACCTGATTGGTTCGTCCATAAATTATGGTCTCGCCGACTATTTTCTTTGAAAAGTACACAGTTGAATGATCCGATAAAAAAATATTGTATCGAATATTTTCCTCTTATAAATTTACGATAGAATACTTTTTTTCACTTCGGAGATTTAACGTTTAGCAGTTGAATTCATGAATCGATTAAAGCTAGACCACCTTAGAAAACCTGGAAGCACTGGTGGAATTCAACTGTGTCTGTTGTGATGCAGTAACTCACTGAAGGCAATGGTGGACGGTGGCTCAATTTCGTGAATTGGTTGAAGTTAGACATTAACACCGTTGGATGCCGGTTCAGTGGTCTACAGGTTAAGCGTTCGCGCGCAAGACGGAAGGTCTTGGGTTCGAATCCCGTGAGCGGATTCCCCAAGGTGGTCTCGCTTTAATCAATTCATAAATTTAACTATTAAATTACTACAATCTTCACAAAACTGATTTCAGTTCTAAAATTCTTTGAAAATTGTTATTTATTAATTTCATACACATAGTTCCCTTTATCATTTTGAAAAGAGCAAGAACAAACATTCTAGCAGAATAGCATGAATTCATTTTTTATTTCGTTGGTTCTCGTCAGCTGCTTACAACCTGTGATATTTAAAATTATAATTACATAATGGGTTTAAATTACTTACATGAAAAAGTTTGATTGGAAGTTATATTGAAGGCATATTCGTATAGTATAGCGAGGGCGTAAATAAATTTAATAGACTGAATATTGTAAATATATACCTTATATAAAAGAACATTGTGACAACGGTTCAAAGGGCTAGAAACAAGTAAACATTGATAGGAAAAAAAAATTGAGTAGAGTTCAGTTGATTAAAATAAGATTAAAAAATTTTTTGGAAGATAGTTGGAATAAAACTCAATGATGTGATAAGTGCAAGAAAGAGTTCAAAGAAAACGAAAAAATATATATATATATTAAAAAAATATATATTGAGATACAGCGAAGGAATATTAGTCACCAAGGCAAGGAAAGATTAATAACCATCTCCTTTTGAACACATAAATCAGGTTTTTGGCGTCTGATAGCAACTGCTTCAGCAAACTTCAGAAGACTGGAGTTCGGCTGCTTACTAATCACCTTGAACGATTGTAGGGTATCGACCTGATGTCCTGTATCAAGGAGATATTTGGTGATTGCACTATTTAAAGCCTTCAATATAACTTCCAATCAAACTTTTTTATGTAAGTAATTTAAACCCATTATGTAATTATAATTTTAAATATCACAGGTTGTAAGCAGCTGACGAGAACCAACGAAATAAAAAATGAATTCATGCTATTCTGCTAGAATGTTTATTTATTAATTCTAAGTTTTGTCTTTGATGGAATGGAAAGATTAAGTTTATCTGAACTTTCTGACAATATTGAACCATTCAGTCTATTTATTTTATATGATATTTCCTTTAAATCAAATATTTGATGTAAAACATGTAATTATCATTCTCACTGAGTTTTTATTCACTTTCATATCACTTCAATCTCATACATAAAATGTGTATACGTAAAGGGAACTTAGTGAAATGTTAATGCATTATGAAGATTTACAAACCAAGTTAGGCGATATACGAAGATTTAAAATAACCAGCGAAATACGAAAAGTATGTTAAACTGATTTACGTACATAATACAAATAATTCTCATTTTTAGTATCTTCAATCAAATGATTATGATTCTTTAATAAATACACAAATTACAAATACTGAACGTACCATTCAAATGTTACAAGAAGTAAGAATCCTTGTTTTCTCTTTTGTATTTAATATTATCCTAGTATTTTTTTTATATGGCTTATAATCAAAGATTCACAATTAAATCTAAAATTACTTTAAAGACGTTTACTTTTAGAAACTCATATATCCACTACTATATTTGTTTACAGTGGCATTTTTATCGTTGTCAACGAATGATATGAACTGTTTATAAAATTGTAGGTATCATTACCAAGATTTGATTTGATAATTTCAAATAAATTGAGCATTGGGTTGATTGTTATAAATAAATAGTATATTTGTAATATCACAATGAGTAGAAAACTAGATTTTCTGACGTTTCGTGACTTAGTATAAGTCACTTCTTCAGAGAATAAATAACAAGTTGATGTCATGTCATTTTTGTCAAGGTGATTCATAAGTGATATGTATGTAAATTTGTGTGTGTATATTCAGACCTGTTTTTGATTGATCAAATATTATTCTTGCATTGTTCCGTTGTACTATTTAAACTTGGATTAATTTTAATTTGGTTATTTATTCTCTGAAGAAGTGACTTACACTAGGTCACGAAACGTCAGAAAATCTAATTTTCTACTCATTGGGATATTGCAAGTATATTATTTATTTGTTTATAAAATTACATAAATTAAGAAATCAATGAAACAGAAGTTAGCAATCAACCTTCACTGGTGACATAACTGAACAAATTGAAATTCTGCTGTTCCAAAGATCTGTTAAATATTAAGCTCGTATTTTTACGTCGATGCATGGAAGTTAGAAATATTACTCTTCAACAACTACTATATTCCCTTTTGTCTTCACGTTTGTTGTTTGGATGTGAATGATTTGAAGTTCCAGGAATATGAAAAGAAAGCTTTCTTAAAATTATTTTTAAGCAATAATTATTTCAAAAAATAACCATACAGGGAATAAACAACACACTGTAAAACTAAACACAATTATCCCAGTCAGATTATATATCTCTGTGAAGCTAAATACAAATATCAGACAAAATAAAATGAACATAAGTCACTGTAACCATGAGATGATACAAATTAATGTGTTTTTTCAACATTTTCACTTGTCTGTTTACCGTTAAAAAACTGTTGATCTATAAATGTCTAAACTTTTAACGCATGTACAGTTCGTACATTTTCTATTATTGTAGCCTCACTTTTGATATTTATTGTACTCTATATTTAATGATGTGTCGATAATACGTGTAGCGTTCATATGCTTACTTATATTCTGCGGTTCTTTGAACAAAACCACTTTCCACTTTTCATACATTATTACCGTCTCCAAGTTTTCACTTTTACAGATAATCATCATGGTTATGGAATATTTTCCATTAGATGTTTTAAATAAGTTAACAGAAATGACATTACCATTCGGTTATTCGAAAGAATACTAAATATGTTAGATACATATACATACGATTGTTTAGCCTCAGGAAACGATATTATCGAAAACAAAGTTCCCAGTTCAGTACCGTTGATTTTTTCTCAACTGAAATCCTTAAATATAGGGTCCAAGCTTGTTAAGATTAATCATAGAGAACTACCGTTACATTCAGGAAAACGCATCCTCCTCTTGTAATTCAAATAGTTATCTTTAAAAATTCGACTAGAAACTTCTATCGTCATTTCACTTGGACCACAGCGGAAACCGATCATAAATTTCGTGGAGAAACATTACCTTACTAGGTCACCTGGTCTGGTAAATATTTTGTTTCTTATGATCGTATAAATTAGAAATTTGGATTCCTCTATGACATTTACGATTCATATTATGAGTTCTGATTCCATGCAAAGCTACAAACCACAAAACCACATACCATGGTAGCGTCAAAATTCTTTATATTTTGTAGAATAGTTGTTTAAAGATGGCTAGTTGTAGTAATGTTCAATGTTCATGAAGTAAAAATAATGATTTCATAATAAAAACTATTTATTAGAATCACGAAAAAACAATGGCTCAGAAACTTGCTCGTCTTCGTCAATATGAAATACACCAAGGCGAAAAACTTAAGAAAGAGAATGAAAAGGCTAAGAAAGAAATAGAAGAAATGAATGTCGTTTTACATGAGACGAAATTCATTCATGAACAAAATCGTAAGTTATGATAATAATTCTTTATAATATATGAGATTACGTTAAATCTGCTTCATGCAAATATACAAGGTGTATAATCAAATTAGTAAGTATCTTAGGAATCGTGGAATTATAATTACAAAATTTGTCGTTATAGTTTACAGTTGTGAGAACAAAATAATATGAATCCCAGGTTAAGAAGAATATTAGTTTTCAAGGAACATGGTGGGAAAAGAAGGATCAGAAATAGTACAGTAAATTAACTTTGGTACGTAGTTTGTTCTTCATAGCGAGGTCAATAAATTTGTGTATTTATTTACAAATGACTGCCAGTAAAACTATACTTATCATGATTCATGATTTGTTAGTATTTAAATCAGGAAAGGAATCCCATGTGCTGACCAATAAAAAGTACTATAGCATCGTTTCTACCGTTTTTATCAGTAACATATCATGATAAATACGAATTTGATTTTTTACAACTAATTAATTGTCCAATTTTTATGGCTATCATACATCATATGACATTTTTAAGGGGAATATTTTGAATTAATTTGGGGATATTATATAATGATGTTTATTTAATGAAACACAATTATTAACCCATAAAGCAGGTTTGAGCCACTTTTTTCAACAATTATCACCCCCCGAAAATATATCCAACTGGATATTGGGATGCATGATATTCTTAGGACTTTTGATTGCTAAATTCTAAAACAGTATTGATAATATTTATAGGTAACTGAACTAGGTTTTTCAAAGATAAAAATATGAGTACAAAAAAATATATTGTTTAACAATTTCATCTGGCTTAATCGAAATAGTTAGTAATGTCAGTTTGATTTGCATGACTAACATACCATAAGTCGACTAGAAATTTAAAACAGTCATTTCCTTTGATAAACTTGGTCAATGTAATAAGAAGACGAAGATTATGAGAACTACGTGATATATAAGTGCAAGACATCGAACATACTGATTATACATATACTTGTCAAGAACATTTATATATGATGAATTAAAAAGTTAACTAGACAAGTGAAAGATATGAAGAAATGGAGTTAGTAAACAAAATAGTATTAAAAACAATGAGAAACTCACCACACTGGATAATAAAATAATAATTCCAGGGTAAGTTTAGGGTGAGAAGAAATTGTTTTTGAACACATAAAGAGTATTTAAATTTTTATATGGCCAAAGTTTCAATAAACCTTCGTATGCTCCCTTCAATACTTTTGTAACAAATCATTAAAGCTAAGATCAATCTTATGATTTGTTTCAACTATGCTTAGTAACAAATTAACTGAAACAACGAACAATTGTGGCCACCGGAGAAATAACACTGCTAATGTATAAGAACTTTCGTCTAAATTTGAAATCAAATGTAGTGACTGTAATGCCACATATGTAGTTGAAACATCAAGACAACTGAATGTGAGAGTAAAGGGACACAAATCATGCTTAAAACACATTCCTAAATCCTCAGATGATGTAAGAAAACTCGACAACAAATCAGCGATAGCATTACACTTAATAGAATCGGATTATACGATTGATTTCAACGGCGCAATAATCCTTCAAAAAGGTTTTAATTCTTATACAGAAAGACTAATAGCTGAAGCCACAATTGATTGATCACTGGGTGACCAATGTCATGCGTGTCTAGTCCTAATTATTATTAGTGCAGATCGAATGCTATCGATTATGTTGCAATGTGGCCACCAGTCTAAGTGACTCGACACTACGGGCACTATTGTAAGATTAGATGGTGGTTGGAGGTAGTCAACAGAAAACCCTGGACCCGGGTTTCGTGCTACTTGGCACTCGTCAGCAAAGGGTACCTGAAATCTTTGAGGGAACTGGTGCTCCCTGGCGGATTCGATCACGTGTCACCCAGCTTCACAATCAGAGACGTTACCACCATCTAATCTTACAATAGTGCCCGTAGTGTCGAGTCACTTAGACTGGTGGCCACATTGCAACATAATCGATAGCATTCGATCTGCACTAATAATAAGGACTAGACACGCATGACATTGGTCACCCAGTGATCAATCAATTGTGATTACATCTCAGTCCTACAGGAGGTTGGTCGCGGCCCGGATAGCTCAGTGGTAACGTCTCTGACTGTGAAGCTGGGTGACACGTGATCGAATCCGCCAGGGAGCACCAGTTCCCTCAAAGATTACAGGTACCCTTTGCTGACGAGTGCCAAGTAGCACGAAACCCGGGTACAGGGTTTCCTGTCGACTACCTCCAACCACCATCTAACAGCTGAAGCCCTACACATGTGGGCAAATACAAACAGTATTAATAGTAAGGATGGAATACAATTAGTTGTCTTATGTCAACTAAGAATTAGTGAATAAACCTGTACTCCTTATTCCATTCTATCTATCTCTTATTATCTGAATAACAACAATTACAGTCAACGGTTCTAATCAATTGTTTTGTTTATTTATCTTCATTTTATGTATGTTGTGACATATTTAATTCGTATGATATATAAAAATTATAAATTTCTTAAAAATTCACCGATCAAAGACAATATATAGTGAATGAAATTTCTTCTCACACCACTTACGTATACACACAATCTGTTTTCGTAACACTTTTCATTTCACGCCATGTCTCTTACACACCAAAGCAAATACCTACTTTAAACATTGTTAACATTGATTGGATGACCTATTTAGTATATAGTTAACCAGAGAACCATGTACCTATTTATATTCGATAATTTTGATATTTGATTATAAGTCCTTGAAAAAGCTTGGACCAGATTTCCAGATGAAACGTTGGATTTACTTCAAATTCATTCGCTGAGATTTTACAAATACATTCTTCATCATTAATGTAACACTGTTAATATTAAAAAAATTTTTTTGTATTTTGAGTGTATTACTTCATTCACATCTGTATGTGTAATTACTCGACAATTTTGACAGGATCAATAATATCATCCAAGCGATAGCTCACCTTTCTTACTATCACATGCCCCTTTCATGATGTTGACAAAACAACCCGTTTTTGTATATTCTGAAAATTATTAATTAAATCCATTCAATTCCACCTATTACCGTTTCTGTCAAGTTTTATTCGCTTTATATAGGTGCTAATCATATATAAATAAATCCAGAGTACTATTGTCATTAAAAGCAGTCAAAATGTTGATTATGTTGAATAAAAGTGTTATCTATCATTACATCGTCCTATGTCCCACTAGAGTCAACAGGTATCAGTAGGTTATCATTACATATTCGGTAACAGTGACCAACTTGAGCTTTGGTTAAATTTCTTTTAAAAACCAAAAAAGTTATCATAAAATGAAATGAATATTTTGAAACCGAGTTACTTGAAATAGTATATAGTATGAACAAAATTTCTGATCAATGACATTTTTGATCAAAAAATTAATAGCATACGATATTTTGAAAAAACAAATGTCTGTAATCTATGCATAAATTCTTTGATTAAAGTTTTTAGTTAATATAATTTATTCATGTGTTTATTTTATTCCCTAAAACAACTACAATTCATAACTATTGTAACTTACAGGTATTTAGCCAACAAGTTAATATCTTAAGCATTAATATCTCACATCAACTCGGCGCCCAAATACTGTGAAACTATTCAATCAAACTAGACAAAAGTTCTTATATTCACTTGGTGTTATTCTACTTGTATCTTTCCATTGTTATTTAGGACTGCAATTGATCAGTCTCTCATATTGGCATATGTGCATACTGTGAGTATTGCCTCGATACAGTCTTAAGTCACAAGCTTTTTAACAAAGATGGATAGCGGCTAGTAGTGGAATCCAGGATGCGCGTTTCGTCCTATTTTGAGACTCATCAGCTGAATGTGCCTACATCTTAGAGTTGATGTTCACTGTGGGACTCGAACTCAATACCGTTCGCCTCCAACGCCATCGCATTATCCACCTAGTTACTGAGTCCTGATAGCCACCTGCTTGTGCAATAGGATGGAGTTTAAATTCACTTGATTTTGCTTTACCTGTATCTTCCCATCGTTATTTAGGACTGCTATTGATCCATCTTTTCTTGAAAAGTTTGTAACTTAAAAGTTCTTATATATTTATTATCTCAAAGTTTATTGTCACTATTTACTTGGCACATTCAATGTGTGATAATTTATTTTTTCTTCTCTAAAATACAGTATGGTTTTTCATTTATTCTACAAATCCTTTTTTACCGTTTCCTTTTATATTTAGATATGAAAAGTGATCATCTCAATAACCCTCAACTTCGACATAAACTATTAATTCAACATCAAAATATTATAAAAAAAATTAAAGAACAAACTAAAGAATTAAAAATACTTCAAGCTGAATTAACTTATTTACGTCAACAAAAGTCAAATTTGAAATTATAAGTATTTCATTATATAATACTTATATAATACAAATAGTATAGAATTCATTTTTTTCTCTCTTTAAATTATTCCATTCTTTATCCATTTCCATGCGATTCAATAATGATATTTGAAAGATGCAGTGTAAATTTTCTTTTTTTTTTAAAAAAACAAAATTTTTATATTTTACAGCCAGATACTATAAAGTTCATTGTTATGATATGATTATTTAGTACTATTACACTGGTTTGAAAATATCAACTGATTTGTAACATGTAATTATACTCATCGTTTCGGAACTTTTTCTAGTATAAGATTTATATTATTAAGGTTTAATGAAATTCAGAAATTCTGATGGATTAAGTTATAATTTGTTGGATTTGATCAAGTTAGTACTTTAGCTTCAGAAATTAATAAATTGTAATTTGCTTACAGGTTAAAACAGAATTGGATGTAGAGTTATATTGTTTAAAATCACGATAGTTTTCTATGGCACATAAACAAGAAGATAATTGTAAGCAAAATGGATGAACACTTGAGGAGGAAGCCAAACGAGGAAGTTTAGTGTTGACGGTCGATGCAGGAGGAATAATAGAAACCGAAGAGGGAGGTTGATTATGAATACAGTGGTAGTGAGTGCTATTAGAGGTATGAGGGCAGTTATCATTTCCCGGTTACCCACATCGTGGAAGGGTTTTTCTGTAGGTACTTGAAAACGAAATCGGATTAAAGGTGGTCCTAGTGAACTGAGAGCGTGACCGCAATGCCCAAGGGACAACTGCTTGAGGTTGGTCAGACACGATCTTTTTGTGGGTAATTTTCGTGTTAGCTCCGTACTTGTTGAGACCTTACCACAGGAGACGAATATCCATGGGATAAGGCAAGTTGTGCATTTTTAGGGTCGACCTTTTCCAACCCTACCCCTCCTTGTGGGAAGGCAGCATCGCTGTTATGTTGGTTGTCTGAAGGAAACACCTTACTGCCGTCAGGAGTACGACTTTGCCTTCAGACTTTGGGTTTGTTGCTTTTAGTCTTACCGCCCTTCAACTGACCTGTCTGGAATGGTAGGGCCTTGAGGAATGATTGTTCCAGCCAGTATAGCTCGATTGGTTCATCATGATAGGCAAGCCCGACCACCACGTCAAGGTAGCAACAATGTTCGGGTTATACTTAGATTACATTTGACTGTTTTAATAACAACCCTGTAAAATATATATCTGCTTATATTTCCTCATATGTGATTAACTGTATTATTTCTGACTTCCGTTTTTGCGATTTACATTCTGTAAGACAATTTAATACTATGAGACGCCTACATGTCTTATTCCAGCTTCCGTATAGACCAATTAATTTATTCTTCTGCAGTCATTATCCACACATATTTTGACCATGTCAATTATTTGCTTATAGCCTTAACTGTTTTTATGTGAATATGTATGTGTGCGTATCGCTCACCCCATTCATTACATGTCTTTAGTTTATTTCTATCTGGTTACATCAGATTATATCATGGTGAGTTTTGTGAACCTGACTTCTTCGCTTTCCCGCTTCTCATTTTTAGTGTCTATCTAAGTAAACAAATATCTGAAATAAACTCATACAACTAAATCCATATTCGGTCGTCGCTCAAACGGAGTCAGCCTAAGTGTAGTATACCGAACTGAACAATAGATTTCTATTCATGGAATATTCATCTGTTCATTCAAATGAATGTCAGATCTCGAGCCACCAAAGTAGTGAACCACACTAAACCGCCTGTTAATCAAAGACGAGTATACTGAACAATAGTTCACTCTGTCCTAGCTTAAGGGTGTGAAGCGTGGCCATTAAGAATAGAATATATTCTTAGGTTACTAGCATTCAATCACAAGTGTCAGAGTCGCTAAGAAAAATGCAACGTGTTGATAGTCTTCAATATATTATCACTCATAATATTCAAATGAATTTCCTCAGACTGTTGACTAGCACAAACAAGAAACCTAAGCTGTCAAAATCCTTTAGTCCATAAAATATAATCTCATTTGAAACGAAGCATTCGTTCCGAGGAACAGAAAGACCCATTTCTAAGAAACTTTCCGTCCTAATTTTCTACAAGTATCATACGATGAGACTAGTTTATTGCCTTTTAATTAATTCAATACTCAGTACAACATTTATAAAATACTTTTACTACATCACGTATATGTTTATTAGACATATGCCTCAAGCAACTTTTTGATTGCTTAAAGTTAGTTTGTTTATTTAATGTAAAACTTATTTAAGTTCGTGCTCAAATTAGAAAATTCGCACAAATAAATCACTGACATGTATTTTTTAAAACAAAACAGACAGTACTATGTTGTTTTTAATCAATGATTCTTAAACCGTTTATTTTTCACAGATATTTCTTTGGTTTGCCTGGAGACGTATTTTGAATTAAATCCAGTACATAGTCTTCAAATAACATGTGAAACGTTATCTGTAATTTCTTGGGGTAAATATTTTCGAATATTGAGCATATGAAAGGCATATATTCATAAAGCACGAGTGTTGGTTATTTTGAAGAATAGTGAAATACAAGCTTTCTTAAAAAAATCTAGAGATGTCATCATCACTGTAAACACTGTTTCGAACATGGAATTATTCGAACACATAAATATTGGTACAAAGGGGCACCAAATAAATATGAACCTTACAATAACAGTGACAATGTGAAGAGATATATAATGTTAGGTGTGTATAAGAAAAAAGGAAACAGTAACAAACAGAAACCAGTGTATGATAGTGAAATAATTATAATTGGAAAAGCAGTTCAGTTAGCAATGGTACAATCAGAAAGAATTCTGCCAGTTAAAGGAGTTACGTCCATTTTTTTATGAAGAGAGTAAAATAAAGTTATAACAAGATCTCTACTGGCTTCTATTCTGAGCCATATCTGATAACGTCTCTAGCCACCGTGTTACACAATCTTTAGAACCCCAACCAGGGAGTCGTGAAGGACCAACAGAAGCCAACCCTTTGCAACTTTCTTTCATACCACGACACCATGTCATACACTGACCACCTCTTCTCTTTTTCCAACCAATCCCAGCGTCGGCAAATAATGCACGACGTGGAATTCTCTGGGAAGACATTAGTAGAACATGTCCAAACCACCAAAGTCGATGTTTCAAGATAATGACATTAATTGAATTATCGTCGTTGTGCCCGAACACACGATGATGTTGCTACTGGATATCAGCAATTCTTCGGGGACAACGATGATCAAACACAATGAGTCATCTAACATTCTCTAACCGGAGGCCAGGTTTGCAAGCAGACAGCAAAACTGCCCTAACCGACGTGTTGTAAACCCGACCTTTTACAGCCAGACCGACGCCACGAAGGCGCTAAAGATGACCTAGATTGGTGTGAGCCGCTCTGGCTTACACTATACGTACAGTGATCTCATCACTCACGCCACCACCAGCACTTATGCAGCTACCTAGATACACGAACTTCTCAACTACTTCCATCTGCTCACTACCCGGAGTGAGTGCAGAATCACGGTCCTACCAGTCTTGTAAAAGTACTTTGCACTTCGAAGGTGCAAAACACATACCATACCTACGGGCACTAATTTGCCAACTGATTAAGTGAGGATTGCACGGTTTGGACACACCCTTTTTCTATAGACAATTCCAGATAACAGTCCTGTACAGCGAATTGAAGGTAGCCCTGATGTCAAGAAACATTATGATTGCTGGCTGGTGGTAAGTATGACAGTGTTCTAACATTTGGCGAAGGATGAAGATACGACCAATACATCCCTGACCAGAACGAAAACCGGCCTGCTTTTCGCTAGTCAATCTTTCTTGGGTTTTGATCAGCCCACAAAACATGACGGAAGCCAATAGTTCGGACTCAATTGGAAGTAGACTTATCCCCCGATAGTTGTTACAGAAACGACGTAAACTATCGACTCATTCCACGATGTTGGAACACTCTCTAACGGTTAGACCATTGTAAACAGTTCAGTCAGTTCCTTAACCAGGTCGCCACCGTCTTTAAAAAGGGACGAAGTTAAGTTGTCTAAGCTCGGTGATTTGTAGCGTTTCAAGAGTAGGATTCCCTTGCGGACTTCCACCTCATTTGGTGGATCAGTCGTCACGGGCCATGGAGGGCATGACAGTCTTGTCGATGTTGCCGGGGCAGTAGACCAGCTGAACTGCTCCTCGGAAAACTTTGCCCATCGTCCAAGACGCTGATAAATGTTATTGATTGGCATCCCATCAGCTTCGCAAATTGTTTCGCTCACACCAGACTTCTTTCTGTCAGCGACTCGGATGAGTTGAAAGAGCAGTTACTAGATGTAGCTGCTACTTCCAACTGATTAGCACGCTCCGACCACCAGGCCTCTAGGTCCTTTAGCAAGCTTTACCCTATTTAATTATGTAACAGTCGTCGTTTGTGGTCAAACTCTCGGTAACCCGGAGTAGAGCGATGGGCTTCATTGAGTTGCAAGGAGCCTGGACAAGCCCAGTGCTTATAACTGGGACATTTCGCGAAGCCGCAAGTGAATTTACTAGCCATTTTCATGACGTCATGCAATTTCAACCAATGTTCATCCATACTTTTCGGTGGGATGTTAGCTAGCCTTGGACCTAGCTCGGTTTAATATTTACTTGCAGCAGAAGCTGCAACCAATTTACTGACATAGATCCGTTTAGGAAGATGAATTTGTTGTCTACTGAAAATTAAGATAAGATTACCGCAAACAAGTACATGATGAGAGTCCAGATAGGTACTCCAAAAGGAGCGACAGTCTTGTGCACAATCACGCTAGCGGTAGCTGATCGCGATGTGATCAATCTGAGTCAAGGCTTGAGATGAAGATGGAAGCACCAGGTAGCACATCGCCGATGACTGTGCCGGTAGTTAGTGCTAGCCAGAAACAGATTATGGTCTGTGCAGAGTTGCAGTAGACGTTCTTCGTTATCTGGCCTGGGAACAACAAGCTCCTATCGGCCACCTAAACGACTCTCTTCTGTGCCTAGACGCTCGACCTGAGCATTCATGTCTCCAGCTAGTACTACAATGTCTATCGAACGCACTTTCTGTAGAAAAACTGTTAGCTGTTGGTAAAATTCATCTTGGATCGCATCCGGGATGCAATATGTCAGAGCATAGGCGGAGATTATGAGAAGACATCGTTTCTGACACCGTTTCCTTCTTACTTTGATGGGACTTTCTAATCCAACAATACATAAGCGATTGTTAATGAGGATTCAATCGTTCAGTGCTGCCTCGGCTTTAGCTCTTAGTT